TCTTTGTTTATTTTACAATTATACTTTTTGAATTCATGCTCTATCAACTGCAAATATTTACAATAAATATTGAGTAAATCTAAATAATTTTTGATGGAATTTACGTAATATGCAATATTAATACTTTTATACTAAAATTATCAGAAATTCAAAGTTTGCTACCCATATTACAGAATCCATAATTTAAATTTATTGAAATATTTTTCGTTTAATACGACTATCAAGTATATATTTTTAATTTTATAAAACCTCTTGCTTTAATTAAAATACTTTCATCAAATTTTAATTATAATTCTGAGATAAAAATTAAAAAAATTAAAAATAATTAAGAATCATTTCATATTAACATCAATTAATAAGTATACAATATAAAAATAATACTTTAGAGTATCTAGCAATAAGGTATCATTTAAAAAAAAAAAATAAATAATTTAAATAAATCAATCAAATTAATTAGGTTTGACTATAAAATATTGAAATTTCTTTACATTTGAATTATTCTTAAACTTGGAGTATGGAAATACAAAAATTCAAAAAGATCTAATTTTTAGTTTAAATGTCATATCGTAAGAGTGAATTATTATTTAAAATTTATATTTTAGATAAAATAATGTATAAGATATTATAATCTTTTCATAAATTTAAAAACAAAATCTTTAAGTAATAGTGTAAGACGGAGGTCAGCATCAAGCTAAACATAAGTCTAAAATTTTGATAAATAAAATGTAATTTAAATAAAACAGAGTTTGTAGATTATTAATATAAAAATAAAAATGGGAAATATTTTAGAAAATGAGAAGTAGGATTAGATTATGAAAGAGGTTACTTTTTGTCAAAACTTATCTCATCGTTAGTTGGGTAATATAAAAATACTCGAATATAAGTAGAACAAAGTAAAATTAAATAATGAATAAGGAAGAAAATAAAATTATTTGAAGTATAATTGGGAACTACTTCAAAATAGGAATTATTAGATTACTAAAAGAAATTTGAGAAGAGAAAATAATGGAAACATAGTAACTTAGTTGGGTTGTTACATGTTAATGAAAATAGTAATTCATTGATGTGTGCTGAAGTTTCATAAGCAATAGTGATAGGTGAATATTATTAAATGACTCTGAATTCAGAGGCAGAATAGAAGTATTATTGAAATTGAATAAGTTTTACTTAATCATTTATGTTCAATGAATCAAGATTATGGTTGATAACTTATCAAATCGTAAGTGCATGTGCTTTTTTAGAAGAGAAGGGAGTATATCATGGAGAATTAAAAACATAGACAATATATTTAGATGAAACAGAGAATATAAAGTTGATAGTAAGAATTAATTTGAATGAAAAAAGGAACATGATTTCTTGCCTAATCATCCAGATGCATACAATAAGGCATTTATATTAGATGAATTTCATTTATTGCCTCCTGAATAATTAGAAGAATTAAGATAATCAATTCCAATTTCTGAGAAAAGTGGTGTGAAGGGAGATGTATTTACTTTAGGATTGATTTTGTTAGAATTGGCTGCTTAATAATGTAAGGATTAATGATATGGTAAGCTTCATCTGCATATTACAATTGGTAGAAGAAACAGATAGATATAGCTTACGTGAAAAGAATGTGTGATATTTTATTAGGTTTGGGATATTCGAGTATATTTTCAAAGTTGATCCTTTAGATGATTAGTGATTATGATGCAAGGCCAACATTTATTGTCATTAGGGATGGATTATAGAATCTAGAGAAAGATATTTTAAATGGAAACTAGTTTTACAAGGATTATATAAAATTAGATAAAATAAAAGAGGAGAATAAAAAACAGTTTCAAACATTTGGGTAAAAAATGTGAATCCCTACAAATTCAATTTATATCTTCAAGTCATTAATTACCCAACATTCTTATTCTTTCGATTTATATTTTCAATTTAATATTATTTAAAATTTGCATGTTTTTCCCTGAATAAGAGTATAAGACAAGCACAAAAGTATGATACTCCATTTCTATATTAGAGTGAAGATGAACTCAAAAAATTGACGTTGGAAGAAGATTTGACTGAATGTTAGAGATCATATTATATATTGACTAAGGGTTAATAATTGTAAAAGAAAGCAGTAAGATATATTATATTGAGTTAGATATACTAAAACTTACATAGAATTTTGAAAGAACCAAATGCATTTGAGATTTTGTTCAAAGTCATCGTGTATGATATTTTCTATATTGAAGAGAAGAAATTCAACAACAGGAAGAGGATAATCAGATAATTGCAGCCAAGTCTCTTCATAAATTGATAAAGGAGAACGTACTTGAATTGACGGAGTTACTATAAATATATGATTTGACAACACAAATTCTAAAAATTTGGTCATTACCTGTATTGAATGAATGGATTCATACAATGGATGCATTGCTTAGAGTTATCAGTCTCAATATCATCCTTAATCCTGCGTAATAATTAATACTACTGTTAACTGATGCTTCATAGCCAACAATATCTCGTTAAAGTGCTGCAAAGCTTATAGGCACATTAGCATAAGTATTGGATTTAATAAACCACAGCTTTTAGGGAATGATATTAAAGGACCTTTATTAGACAGAGCTAGGAATTTATGTTCAGATCATGATAAAGAAATTAGATTAATTATGGCTGAAGATGTAATAATCAAAGTTTGTTCATCCATATCTAGTGATCTTATTGAATGCTACTTATTAGAGAAGATTATGGAACTTTATTATGATACAGACATTGTAGTTAAGAGTTCAGGCATGAGATTATTCTTTACTATTGCCAATTAATTGTCTATTGATGAAATTAAAAATAGATGTACTAAATTATTTATTGATTAAATTCAAAGTTAAAGCGAAGAAAGCAAAGTTGTCATGTCTAAAATGTGTGGAAGAGTATATATGTTGGTAATAAATTTCATATAAAAATAGGTTAAAGAGTATTTAAATCTCAATTAATTATCTTTATTTCTGAATATTTATGTTTCGTATGCCAAAAGTAAGAATTTAGATGTAAGAACCAATTTTGTATTCAATTTTCCAGGGATACTTTCATTAAGTTTAAAAAAGTTTGAGTATTTTCAGGAATAATACATGATTTGTTGTAATGATACCAATGAGATTATACAGAGATCAATTTTAAGTAGTTTTCATGAAGTTGTACTTTTGTCTGAGAATACAGATATTCTTGTTTAAGTTTTTATTAACTTTATGAAATCAAAATAAATGACAATCTTATAATTGTTAATTGTAAGATTTGATTCAATAGTTAATTCTTTTCAAAAACAAGTAGTTTGTTAATCTTATGCGTAGTCAGTAACAACCACAATTTGGTCAACCAGCCCTTGAATTGTTGAATAATCTTATTGCAAAGAATCTTTGGGATTTATAAGTAGAATTATTAATGAGATTCTCTGAATGTTAACAAATATTCCCTGATATAGCTGTATTCATAAATACGATGATTGCAACAATAAACAAGGGAATTTCGAAAACAAAATAATTATGTTGTTTAAATATTGCTAAGTTTTTAAGCAATTTTGGAGATCTGAGGAAGAGAAAGGATTGGATAATTTAGTTATTTGAACTTTACTTCAAATCTGATAGTTACTATAATAGAATTACATTTATAGATATAGTTCAGGAATTCACATAATTCATCTCAAGAAAACTATTCAAATAATATCAATTCTATGATATTCTGATTTTCTCCAAAGATCCTATTATAAGTGTGCGAATGAGATTAATCAAAGTATATATATAAGATTAGAATATTAACTAGATTCTACCAATCCTGTATAAGAAGATTGATTCTGAAGATGTGACTATCTTAAATATGTTCAATGATTCTGTTTAGGATTGTATTCTGAGTGGATCTCGTTCCTTTCAATATATGATTCAATAGAGTAAAGAGGAATTACTTAAACCCAGCGATGAAAATGAATTAAATTAGAAAGATTAGGAAATGTTAGAAAAGGAGGAACAAATCTTTAAGAATGATTAAAAATAACGATAGTTATTATTAGATTAAGAAAGAGATGATTTAGAGATTAATAAAATAGATTTAAATGATTACTTGAATAAATACAAAAAGAAGTATCCTCTTACAAAAATTAAGATTACTAATTCAACAATGCATAGCTAGACTACGCTATTGAAAAAGCCTTAATTATAAAATAATGGTAGTTAAGCTTTTTTGATTAAAAAATCAGTTGATTTTGATTCTAACAAGAGTCCAATCTTAGATGCAATTAAAAAACCTGTTCTTAAGTCTAAAACACCAACAACAAAGAGTATTTGTGATATTAAGAAGCAATTTAAACTTCCTAGTATCAAAAAATGAAATAAAATAGATTATTATTATTGGGAATTCATTATAATATATAGTTTTTTTTCATGATTCCATTTTTTTATCATTCTCAATTTCAGGAGCTGCTTCAAATTAATTAGGTGGCAAATTGCTATATTGTTATTAAATATTCAATTTATGTTTCTCTTCCCTTCTTCTTCCCCAAATTATAAAAGCAATAGTCAATGCCAAATAAACACATGCTGATACTAATGCTGTAGTTTCTGAATGAGTTTAATTCTTAACAGGATATCTATAAAATTCAATCTAATATTTAAGTATTAGGAACAAGGATAACTAAAGTTGAATGATGTTTATTACAAATAAAATAAATCCACATGCAAATATGACAGTCCAGAAACGAATACAATCCATATATTTATTATTAATATTAATGAACTGTTAAGAATATATTCGCTATTCAGATATTTTAGATGGCAAATATGAAATTGATCAATTAGAATCCATACATAGAACAGACTTATATCGATCAACAAGTTAAGTTTAAACCAATCATTATAAAGATTTGATACAAGACTTGATCTAAGTATGATATTCATTTATCAAAAGGCTTAAAGTAGATGTGCTGATAATATCAATCAACTTGGTTACATGCTCAATTAGTAATCAAGCAAGAGATATACATAATCAGATTTTTCTACTCCTAAACTTAATATGTCATAAGTCTCTCAGTTTTCATAAGTATAAACACCTAACAAATTAATATAAAGTAATTCTGCATAACCACAATTATTGAACTAATTAAACAATGAGTAATCATTATTCATAAGATTTTAGCAACCTTTTGGATCATATTGATAAATTAATTAAAATTAGAAAGTTGGACTAATCTATACTATTAAGAATTATAAGAAAGCATATGAATGAATGTCCATATTTCGTATAATTAGTCAAGCAAGAGTTTCGTAACAGTATAAATAGTTTGCAATGATTATTAATGTACTTGGAGTCATACAATATTATTTTACTAATCCTAAATTAAACCTATCTTTATTATTAATTTTCTTCTTCTGTTAGTAAGAGAGGTTAAAAGTATAAAAAACATAATGATTCTAATATGAATTAAAAATGATATAGGTTCTCGATAAAATTGAATGAAAATGGGGAATGATAATAAATAATTATTTAATAACATTTATGTTAGTATAATAAAGAATATATTATAAAGGCAGTTAATTATATTTTGAAATAAAAATGGGAGGATCAGATTCAAAACCAATTACTAAGCTTTATGAACACTTTCGATAAATAAATGTTTATAACAATGGTATGTTGTATAGTAGATGATTATAGACTTTCCTGAGTGTCAAATTCTACAACATAAACGAGATCCTCATCAGAAATTAATTCTTCGTACTTTGAACATAACAGATGAGGTTCATTTTAAGAAAGCTGTGCAATTATATCAAGTAAGACATAAGATCAATCATTAAAATGTTCTTAATTTGAGCAATTACTTTTATTAGTTTGAGTAATAACTGTGTGGACAATTCTATAAAGTGTACTTATTATTTGAATATCCAACTGGTAATTTAGAATTAGTCCCAGCTTTAAATGAAACATAATTAATTTCATATTTGAAACAAGCAATAATAGGATTAGCATGTATGTAGAAGAATGAGATTCCACACAATTCATTATAACTTAAATAATTATATTTGATGGATGAAATATTAAAAGTAACAGACCCTATGTATTTCTAACATAGCACTAATTTTATGTAGGTTTTATAAAATCCTAAATGTTTGGAATTCATTTATTTATCTCCAATTTTAGTAAAATCAATTTAGATAAACAATTGGTAACCAAAACATAATGAATATAAAAGTGATCTTTTCACATTAGGAATGTTATTCTTACATTTGGCTTTGAATTAACCAAGTTCAGATTGTTATTCATATGAACAAGGTTTATTGATTGAAGATGTTTTGAATAATAAATTATCGAAGTTGAGAATGAGATATAATTAATAATTTTGTGATTGGATAACAACAATGTTAATAATTAAAGAAGATTCGAGACCAGACTTTTTATAAATGGAACAATACATTACTAATTAATAAATAATTAACAAATAATAGTATGTTCCTAATGTAATATAAAGATAATTAATTCCGATAATAGATCCTAATTATTAATCGAATACAATTTAAAAAATATAATAACAGACAACAACAATATAACAATGTTTAACTCAAGTAAACAGTGTGTAATAGATTCAATCAAGAAGAGTTTAATAAGTTTAAGGTATTTCCCCATTGGAATATATCCATCAATATACAATAAAGACAGATACTTCTTAAAGGAGTCTTACTCCTTTGGGTAAAATCTTAGTACCTTAATAATAATTGTAAGTAAGAGATAACAGAGATAGTTCAGTTCCAAGATTGAGAGGATCAAGATAAAGTAGTAAAGATGTTAATTAGACATATGCTTATGCTATACCAACAATTGCGACAGATTTATCAATTCTTAGTAATAAAAGTGGATAACAATAGTAAATCTATTTTCCTCCGAAACCTTTTTCAAATAAGATAGCAAATACAAGGACTGCTACATAATAATAATAATCTAGAATGAATTATACTACTTAATAAGTATAAGAATTTCAATTCGGTAGTTAATAGAATTAATAAACAAATAATATATAGAAACAAATAGTTCCAATTCAACCTTTATAACCTGATTAATGTGACATTTTATAATTTAAACAAATTAGTGAAAGTGTAAGTAAATAATCTTAGTTTGATGAAAATATTGATCCTTAACCAGATGAAGAAGTTGAATAAACAACTTAGAGATAAGAATATTTTAAATTCTCAAAGATTTTAAGTGATTCAACGAATCTTCCTTAATAAATAACAACGACAACATAAACTAAAGAGTTTTCATTGCCATATGATATTCCTTAATTTAAAGCTGATAGTGTAAATAGACCAGAATTCGTTGTAGAACATTATTCAAATGGATCTCGTTATGAAGGTATGAAAGCTAATGGTATGAGACATGGATAAGGTAAATTTTATTATTAAGATGGTGGATTATATGATGGTGGATGGAAGGAGAATAAAATGCATGGAGATGGTAATAAATTAAATGTAATTTATATAGGAACACTTTATTATGCTACTGGTTAGCCTGCATATTAAGGATAATGGAGTGAAGATTAATTTTAAGGTCATGGAACTCTATACAATGAACATCCTCAACCATTATAAGAATCATTTGATTATAGAGATTTTGACAATGTTGAAGAGTATTAACTTCCATATTCTTAGTTATTGGATTAAATATAGTGGCAATTTCGATTAAGATAACAAAGAAGGTCAAGGTACCCTTTATCTAACTAATGGTGAACGTTTTGTTGGTACTTTCTAAAAAGACTTTATTAATGGTCCAGGAATATTCTATTGTATGAATGGCAAAATCATGGATGGTAGATGGATCAACAACAAACTAGTTTATTGAATTATCTCATTTATTTTTGCATTTATTACATTTTCATTACATTCCTAAAATAATTATATAATATATTGAGTCCTCCATATAATCATTAAATATTCATTTATTTAATTTAATGCAAGACCCAGAGCTATATGTTAGAAACTTCTAAGAAGAAATTAGCTAAAGAAATAAACGTAAACAACCTTTGCTCTATCCTGATGATTAAAGATTACATGAACGTCCTAGAGTCAGAAAGATTGAACCTCCTTCTTAGATCATCAGTCAGTCATTACTTAAGAATCATAGTTATGCGTATTACTATCTACATTATCTAGACCTGATCCTCTTTAAAATTTTACGAAACCGCTTATTAATTATTCAATCAATAGTCCATCTGGAAAAGATCCTTAACGTTACAATCATAATTTTTTATATCTAGCATAAGATAATATCTTTCGTAAAGAACCCTTTAATTAAAATCAAAAAGACTATGCTCCTCAAAGACATTCTCAATAATCCAATGAATAAAGAATTAATTATTAAAATGTTGGTAATATGCTTATTGGTGGTGATACTTAACCATAGTAACAATCTCAACCACAAATACAAAATTCATAAATGACTCAATCATAATATACATATCCACAATAATAATAACAATAACTTTATTAATACTAATAAGAATCGTAATTGTACTAACCATAATAATTACAATCGTAATAGTAGCAACTATCATAATCACAAATACCAAAATAATAATAATATTAATAATCATAACATTACTAATAGTATTAAGTACCATTATAAAATAATTAATAAAAACAGCAATTCTCTTAATAATATCAACTTTATTAAGCAGGTACACCTAATACATTTAAATTAAAAAGTGATGGAAATTCTTAACCTTTCAATTATTATGGGTATTTATCTCTCTCCATTTATTTAGTTCAAGAGCTTTAAAAAACTTAGATAGCACATAAATATATTGAATAATTTAATTTGCAAAATACATTTTTATCTATATATATTTATGATTCTTTTATCCAAAATTATCCATCCCAAAAACCTAATATTATTTCTCATTATTCTCCATCAATCATTTAAATTCTTATTCATATTGCTAAATTTCATATTTCAACTTATATTTAATTAGCTAAATCTATCTATTTATTGAATAAGGATTAGTTTTAATAATAATATCATAAATTGAAAATGCTTAGACAACTGAGTTGAATGATATCTTATTGTTAATCTATAATAGAATGTAAATTATTAATAAAGGGTTTTATTATGAAATCTTTTTGAAATTTGAAAGTAAGCGTTAAATTATTGTATCAAATTTTGTATTAGAGAGATCTTTTATAATTAAAATTAAATTAGGTTTCAACTTCTTGCAAGTTTTAAAAATTCTTTGTAACATGGACATTAGATTACTAAGGTAGTATAAATATGAGAAATAGAAACATTTTTTGTGGAGTATGATTAGGAAACCAATTTTTAATAAAAATTTATGTATTAATTTTAGATAGTTTAAATTTGTGGATTATTTAGTTATAGTTAATATATGAATATAGGAAATAGGTTATGTAGATGGTAATATTGATATTTGTTTTCAGTAGTTATATATGAATATATATAATAATTAAAATAATGATGCATAATGTTACATCAAGTTCTAGATGTCCATTTAAATTTCCAACAGAACATGTGAAATAGGGTAGTAAAAGCATGACTTTCAGAGACTTTATTCAAATGCAGTAAAGCAAAGAGGAGATGAAATTCTAACATTCAGGGAGATTGTCTCCATTATAGGGTTCTCCAATAAATTAAAAAAAGTAAAGATGGGAAAAATAGTTAAGCACTCTCTTGCACCAAGACCAATAAAATGAGTTATTTATTAAGCATTCATCTTAATGTCAAATAGCAATGAAAGATTTTGTAAGTAAACCAAAGAATTTTCGAAGTCAAGAATAATCTCCTGCTAAAACTGTATATCATTTACCAATGATAAGTGATTCTTAAGACATTGTGCTCCCAAATACTCCTGTTCATTTTAAGTTTACTCCAATTTAACCAAAATTAAAGTCTTCTAATTTTAGTGGGTTAAGAAATGTTTAAGATCAACTTGAATAGTTAAAAAAGCCTAGAATATAACATAGTCATAGAGAGTTAAAATGTTAATAACCTATGACTTAGACAGAAATTATAAGCAAATTCTTTGAGACTAAATTTTAGAAAATAATAAAAACATAGATAAAATAATATGGTAGTAATGAGCTATTAGATTAGCATTCAGAAACACTATATTCAAGAATTACTTAAGATAGATAATTAAAAATAAAATTCTTAGGAAAATCTTTAAAATATTTGAAGGATATTTACAAGAGTATTTTAGGGATTGGATACACATAAGAGATTTTGCTTGATCCATTTAGAATGAGAAGTATTCATGCCCCTTTATTTATAAAAAAGGAATAATTTATTAGATTTAAGTATTTATTTATAAATCAATTTATGGATATGGAAACTCCAGTTGAATTACTATTTAAAGGATGCTATAAATTAGAAAATTTTAAACCATTAATACTAAATTAAAAAAGTGATTTTGAGATATTTGGAGGTGAATTTGGAATAAATGAGATTGCTAAGAATATGTATGAGAAAATTTTTAAAGATTATACTTTGAGTCCATATTTTAAAGCAATTGAATTAGAGGAATAAGCTATAAAATTTGCAAAATTATTTGCTCAATTAATAGATCATACTGAATCACCAAATTATACACTTGAAGTATTAAGAGAAAGACATGTTAAATATAAGCTTACACATGTGTAATTAGCAAATTTTAAGTTTTATTTATCTACAACTTTGTAAAAATTAGGAATAAAATATAAACATATTAGAATTTTACTAAGGAAAATGGACACTTATAAATTTGCCATATTAAATAAATCATCTTTGTAAGAATGTATTAATAATTCACCTGGAGGTTATCGAGAATTTATAGATAATTTTGTTCGTTTTTGTACAAGCGAACCAATTCTTTTTGATTTAATTTAAAAAAGGGGGAAACAAAGATTTACAGCACACTGTGAAAATGTCTTTCATTATTTTTTCAGAGATAATGTTAAATCGATAACTGATAGTGATATAGAATCAATTCATAAAAATAAATCTATTATTTCAGATAAAGTTTTTAAGAAATTTAAAGAGAAGGCCATGTAAGCAGTAAGCAAAGTAACAAATGATCCAATTTTATTAAGCGATTTTGAAGAGGATTGGGAAGAAATCACACCCATTCTTTTGAGTAAACCCAGAAAGACTGCAATTAAATAATTGGGTGGATAACTAGTTATAAATAGAATTGCATCCAAACTTGAAAATGAGATTATGTAACGGCCTTTATTGTATAAAGTATTTGAGGTAAACTGTAAAAATAAATAAGGATAATGAATCACCTGTAGGGTAAAATCTAAGATGTAAACTCAATTTAATCCTTTATGGACTTCATTTCTACAAAAGAACTGATATTGAAGTTATTCATAAAAGATTAAGAATTAGAGAATAACCTTACTTCGAATTTTAATAAGTATTTATTAAGATTTTAATAATTTAGGCTATGAAAACAGTCATGTAGGATGAACCATAAAAATTATAATTTATTCTTGATGTAATAGATGATTACAAAAAACATATAGTTTTCGATTGATATTTATATTTTATTATTTATGATATCTGACTCTTAGTAATCATTTAAGGATTTAGTCTAAAATTATGCAGTTAGACAATATAAAACAGGCAAAAAGAATTCTCGAAGATTGTATCAGAATTCTTTAGGGTCTTATTCTGAATCATAAATGAAGTCAATATAAATTGAATAAAATTTAAGTTATGCCATTAGCAATAAACGAGTCTAAAATGGCGATCCTTAAATGCATCTAAGATTTTAAGCAATATCCAGCACTAAAACAAGTAGATCAGAATTACCCCTCTTTACTATTAAGTAATGGAATTAAAAAAAAAAACCTTTATGTTTAATACGAAATTCATAATTATTTAATGATGTTATTAGAAAAGCCAGCCAATAAAACATTTAATAGTAATAAGTGCCAATCAAATCTCAAGAATAATTAATAAAAAGTTATCTTCATTAGTTATCAGTGAAACGTAAAGTGCCTCCTAAACCTTAAGGCACTGAAGATCTTCTAAATTTTGAGGTAGATTAATTATATTTTGATATAACTCGTAAAGATGTTATATTGTCACCTAAATTTCCTATTAAAAACTAGCTTGGAGTTAAACAAGTTTTTAGGAATTTATTGGGAATGGCGTATGACTAATAAATGTATCTGGATTTAACTAGATTAAGAGCGGCTCATGTAGGCATGCAATTAAGTCATACTCATTTTTTTAGATTTAAATATCATTTTCTAAATAGATTTATACTTTTAAATATCTCAACTGAAAAAATGTTTAATTGTTGTGAAAAAATAGAAAATATGAGACCATATATATTGAATGAAGTTTTAGAATATGATATTTATGGGGGAGAGTTAGGTATTTAAGCAATAACAAAATCAATGTATAAGAAAATCTTATCAGATGTCACACTTGCTCCGTACTTTGAAAAAATTGATGTAGCAACTTAAGAAATCAAATTTGGAAGATTATTTTTTTAACTTATTTATCATTTAGATTCTCCAAATTATTCATGTGAAACTTTAAGAGAAAGACATGTTAAATATGCATTAACAAATGTACAATTAACAAATTTTAAATATTACCTTTCATTAACTTTATAAGCAGCAAATATTCCTTGGAAATATATTAGACAATTATTACGTAGAATGGATATTTATAAGTATGCAATAATTAATAAGAAAGATCTTTAATATTATGTGAACTAATTAGGTTTTCACTAGTTTATTGAAAGTTTTATTAATAGTTGTTAATAGGATACGATGTTATCAGAACTCATATCTAGAAGAGGTAAATAAAGATTTACTGCACATTGTTGCAATATTTTCCATTACTTTTTCAGATATAACATAAAGGCTATAACAAGAGATGATTTGCATTAAATACACTCAAAGAAGGCTATAATAAATGAAAGGATATTTGAGAAATTAAAATAGAAAGCAATTCAAGAAGTGAGATTATTAGTAAATGACACTTTGATAATAGAAGATTTTAAAGAAGATTGGGATGAGGTTAAGCCTATTATTTTAGGTGAATCAAGAAGTTAATTAATAGTAAATCTTGGAGAAGATTATTTAATTAAAAAAGCCTAGATGATTTTGGAGGAAGAATTTATATAAAGACATCTTAATTAAATCTATGAGACAGAAGAAGCCGATATGAGTTAAAGTATATTATGTAAATTAAATCTGTTACTTTATGGAATTAGATTCTTTAAGAAATAGGATTTGTAGACAATACATAAAAGATTCAAAATAACTTATTCTTAATATTATGAATTTCAACAGAGTTTTAAAGTAGCTTTAGAAGATTACAAAATGTTAGATTACGTACATCAGATGATAGAAGAATACGAAGAATATATTGTCTCTGATTGAACTATTGATAATAATTTTAGAAATCATTTTAAATTTTCATGTAAGAATTTTGCTGCTAGATCTAGAGCTTATTTAGCAATAGCTTGATTATAAACTTCTGGTCTATCTTGATTGCAAAAAGCATGTCCAACTCCTGGCCATATTTTCACTTACAAATTCTTATTACCTTATTATAAAGCAGTGGATTCTAATCTTTTAGCATCCTAGACTGAAGAGAATCCTACCATATCATCATTTTATCCAAATTAAGCTAAAATAGGTCCATTAGCATTAGATAGTTTAAATGTATTCAAATCACAAACACCATAAAATGGAGCAGCTGCAGATATAATTTTAGAGGTAGTAATAGATGCTATACTAAGTGCACCTCCCATACAAAATCCGAGAATTCCTATTTTTTTACAATGTAAATCTTCTTTTAAAAAACGTGCTGACTCTTCTATATCAATTAATGCTTATTTCCAATCTAATCCAGAAAGAAGATGTCCTGCCTCTTCAGTATCCTTAGCTATTTTTCCTCTGTATAGATCAGGTACAACACATTTGAATCCATAAGTACTCATAATATCAGCTGTTTTACAAATAGATGAGTTTAGACCCCACCATTCTTATATTACAACTAATCCATATGGTGCAGGAGTAACATAAATTGGTAATTTATCACCAATTACGGTTGTTGGCTTTGCCTTTTAATAAACTAAAGAGTAGAAGAATTAAGGCTTCAAAATGAATCTTTGCATTTATAAATATTATTTTATAATAAATTCATAATTATTATGTAAATACTTATTTAAACCATGTTGCTACTTCTTATAAAGCTTATTAAGCTACCTCGGCATTATATGCTTCAGGTCTATCTTGATTCATAAATGCATGTCCAACACCTGGCCAAATCCTATTATTAATTTAATTACTTACTTAACTTTTACATTCTTTCCTACTTTCTATCCTGCTTCTACTAATCTCTAAGCATCATCAGGAGATGAAAATCCTTTCATTTCATCCTTCTCTCCAAATTATCCATAAATAGGTCCCTTTATATTATCCAATTTAAAAGTATTTAAATCACATACTCCATAGAATGGAGCTGCTGCATTAATTTAATCAGAAAAAGATATAGCTGCTATTGATAATGCTCCTCCCATACAAAATCCTGTTACTCCTACTTTCTTACATCCCCTTTCTCTCAAATGTTTTGCTGCACCCTCTATATCCTTCACTGCTCCTTACCAATCCAATCCTTCTAATAAATGACCTGCTTCCTATTATTTTTATTACATTATATCTTTTACTTCTCTATTCTAAGCAACCTTCCCTCTATATATATCTGGAGATATACATTGAAATCCCATCTTAGCTATCTTATCTGTTGTTTTAACCATTGATTCATTCAAACCCCACCATTCTTATATTACAATTATTCCAAACATAGCATTATTTTAACTTAAATATCTTTATTAATTGATTTTTATTATTAATTAAATACCCTTCTCCATCTGCTCTCCCTTCAACCTCAAAATTACAATTCTTTTTTGCTGGAGTATGTATAGCTGGATTTGCTTGCATTTAATATTTTAATAATTATATTTATAAATCCATTCTTTCTAAATTATATATGATTAGTATCATAATCTTCAGTATTTCTTTATTCCTTATTTTAAAATCTAATATCCTCCATTATTTAGTGGTTCCAATTTCTATGATTATTATGAAAGTGGTGTTGAAAAACCCTAAGATTATGATACCATAAATTAGGCATCCTATTAAGCTATCTTCTATCTATAATTAGCTAATTCCTTTGCATGTTAACTAATCATATCCTTTATTCTCTATTCCAACTCTTCATTCTTCCTTCTTAAATCATATAGCTCTTTTATTGTCTATTCATTAACCTAAGTTTATGAATATGGTTATGATTTATCTTAAAATAAAATTTTCTCATATTTCTATTTATATTATTCATTATCCTTCTCTATTTAATTAATCCGATTTCTTTACATCTCCAATACCTATCTCAACGCATCCTCATTTTAAAAACGTCTATGTTGTTTCATAATTAATTATACTCCGAAACTGAATTGTTCCTTCCATCAGCTGTCTTTATTCTTTTTGTTGAGATTATATTTGTAAATGTATTTTTCATTTGACTTAGCTATTATCTTTATAATTGATTTTCTTTTCTCAACAATTCATTTTCTTGTTAAATCAATTTAACTCTCTTCTAAAGAAACTAAATTTCTTTATCTTTCTCTTTCATACTATTTGAATCCATTTATTATAAATAATATTATATTAAAATATAGTCGAAATTATATATGAAATTTATTCAATCTCCTTCATCATAATAGGATCAAATAACATTTTAAAGTTATGAAATCATTAATATATTTTCATTTAGCTTAATTTTTGAAACTTTTGACGGTTTTCAGTTGAAAAAAAACGTGGTGATGCTTATATTGAATTGCTCCTTTACTCAAAATTTCTAATTTGCCTTTCCTTTACAGGAATTAAACTCTTCTTTCGATGATGTAGTTCTTAAATCACTTCTTAACATTTTTAAATTAACTCTACTCTTTTAAAAAAACGACCATCTATTTCAACTTCTGAAGGGTTATAACCCAAACATGCAACTTTAAAAAATTAAAATAATTGAATTGGAGATCCTGAACAGGATAGACAACTAGAATTAAGCATAATAGATTTCTTTTTGTTCCCAATAAGACCTTGGCTCTATAATTGTTATTAAATATACTACATTCATAATCGAGAGAGCACTATCTATTTAAATATCTTTTCCTCCTAATAATTTTAGATCTTCTTTATCCAACTCATCTTATCTTAATAAGCATAATATATTTGAACTTATTCTTAACATATTTAATTTAAATTATTTCAAAAGCGCTATTTCTTCATTTAACTTCTTATAATCACTCTTTGAAAATTCACTTTATATCTCATTTAATAATTATTATAAATTATTAATAGATTATTTAGAGTTTGATGCCTATTTTTATATATTTAATTCAATGTTTGCCTAAAATTAGATCTATGATAAATAGAGTTCATCATTAAGTTCTTTAAACTTTTATTTTAAAGAATTAATTTCATTTGATTTTTCATCTAACTATTAATCAAATTATTCTTTCAATTAACGTAATTATTCTTCAAAATAAACCAGATTAGCTGATTATTTTCTTTTCGTTTTTTTTTAATTCTTACTATCTACAAATTAAGTTGTTTTATTCTCATCGCCTTATTAATCTTCAACAGAAGAATCTTAATCATTCTCAGCATTTTTCAAAGTTTCTTAAGCCTTTTAAAATCTTTTAGAAGCTTTTAAGACTATTGTTTTATGCCAATCCATCAATTCTTAAATATTATAATCATTATTAATATTTAGAATAGTTTTATCAAACTCGTCAAATTTTTACTTTTCAAATTATGCATACTTAGAAAAAAATTTTAAAGGTAAACTAAAAAAAAGAGAATCATTGATTTAATTTTATATATGGTAGTGTTGATAATATCGTAAGTAAATCTCTATTGAGCTAAGTTTATGTTTAAATTCATCAATAACTTATAAATTATTTTTTATAATTTTGTTTTCCTCAATTAAGGTTTCCAACATTTGATTCACCTTATCTATGGTTTTTGCTTATTAAAAATTTTTTAAATTATTTGATGAAATATCATTTTTAATCTAATCTAATTTCATTGAATAAGCCTTTATCTGTGCATCTTCATGAGAAATTTAATGTATTATTTTTCTTTAACTTTAATCAATACCTATGATTTATTATTTAAGGTCTGAAAACTCTTAATTATATATCTAATTTATTTTGTCCATACTTTATTCTAAAGAGGTTTTAAATGAGAAATTAGCAACTTTAACTTCCTGAAGTTCTTATTTAGCTTCTCTGTAAAAAATTTCAGCTTGTTACGATTCTGTGGAAAATGTTTAAATTTGATTTTTGATTTAATCAATCTGATATTATTTTTCCGAAGATTGTGTAATACAAACTTTGAAATTTTCTTGTAATTTTTATTCTTAAGATTAAAGTTTTAATTTTAATTCGTTGTATTTCGGCTCTAAATTTTCTTTTAAAGTTTATACTTCCTTCAATTAGCCTCTAAATTATTAAGACAAATCAGTTAAAAGAGCTTAATTTTTATAGAAATTATGAAGATGAGGTTCCATTAATCTTTGGATGAGAGACGTTAATGTATTTTCTAATTCTAAGGTTTCAAATTTATTCAAAACGTTTAGCATCAATATTGAGAAAAATGAAAAAAATTATAAAAATTGTTTCCAAGTTACCCATGATAATAAGTTTAATGATATATTTATAATTATAATATGTATTATTATTCAATTTCATCCCAACTTCCTTCAACTTGTTCACTCAAAAAGAATTAATATAAAACTATTATTATTTACTTCAAAATTATCAGGACGAGTTTGTTTTTCGATATAATTAACTTTCTTTCTTTTATCAAATAAGGTTAATCTTCCTTATGGTGGAATTTTAATAGATTTGCTTTAGCGAGAAAATTTATTCTTTAAGAAATCAAGTGATTTAGAGAATATCTCAGTTTTCTTACTTTTAAAGAAGCAATCCCTTAGACAATAGCATAAATTCTAAAGGTGCATATACTTATTTGAAATCTCTAAGACAACATGATTCTAAAAATAAAAGTTTCTATTTAACTGGTGAAATACCATCAAACCAAAAATCTTTAACTACATATATTTGCACCACAAGTTTAGTTCTCCAAATTTCAACTCCATCAGTTTAAAACATCATAAATTCTCCATCTAAAAAATCAAATTTATCAAGGATTAATTACAACTTAAGTTTTTGATGAGGAGTAATATCAAAAAAATCTAAAACAGCTCCAAAGATTCGAAAACCATCAAATAATGATTTACTTCCACAGTCACTCACATATCGAAACCTTGCTACAAATTATCCATCCATTAATTCATATAAATTTATCCTCCAAAAAAGGACTATTCTTAAAAAATGAGAGTAAATTTAACATTTACCCCCAAATAAAACACAATTATTAGTAAATTCAATAATATTAAATAAATAAAAATACTTTTGCAATCAGAATCTTTTTGGTCTCTTACATTCAGTACAATTAGCTGAGAAGGATGTACAGAAGATAGTAATATTTCTTTATCCAAATGATTCACTATTTGCTTCTTCATCAATAGTAGTTAGGAATTCAATTTTAACTTAATCATCAGTGTGACCAACATTAACTTCTGTTCTAGCAAATCACAAATTTTTTCAAAGTAACCCTCATACCATTAAAATCTTCTTTCCAAAACCATATTACAAATCAACTTTAATTTAAGCAGCCTCATTATTCTAAAAATCAGTTTCGGTCCAAAGCACCTTTATCTTTAATTTCTAATGGGGATTAACTTTAAAGATTTTGTTTACAATAACTTTTCAGCATTTTTAATAACCACAAAATAAAGCAACATTTTTTATCATCTACTTAACAACTGTCTGGAAATCTTTCAATAGATAAGAAAAAGTCTTTTTTAACCAAAGATTCCTAATTACGTTACATCTAACTACAAAAGCTATTGTATCAGAATTTTTTACATTTAAGTTAAATTTATTGTCATTTCCCTTCGATCTTTCGTTTTTCCACATTTTTATCCATCTCCTTCAATATACTGGAATTTTGTTGACGATGATTATTAATCATCTTTATATATATATCCTTTCTCAGTACCCATGAATCTATTCTACATATATAACTAAATCAATATACTTCCAAAATTAAACCTATATGTTAACTAGCGATTGAGGAGGTAATTAAAACACTTACTTACATAATATAATATATTTCATTAAAATATATCTTTAAGTTCAAATTATTTCTGTATATAAATCAGATAGGAAATAAGCTATAGAATTTTAAGTAAATTTATTTTAATATTAATTATACATAAATTACTAAAGAGATGAATTCTGAAAATTAGATTTAAAAGATTACATTGAAAAAATTAAATATAAAAAAATGTAATTGAACTTATTGTTATTAGAGAGAAAGAATTAAGCTTTCTTAATTGTATTAGATTCTTATTTTCAATCAAAATAATAAATAAACAAAATGGTTTTTGTTAAAATATAGATATGAATATTTTGTATATTTTGTTCTATGTATGTAAATGTATCATTATTCAACTTCAACCCAGCCTCCTTCAACATGACCACTCATTTAAATAAGTGAAAACTAAATAAATATTTTGAAATAGATACATCGAAGTTTTAAATGCAAGCTTGGTCTGAAGTATAGGTAACTTTCTTTCCATTATAATCTGTGCTCTCATATAGAGTAACTCTTCCTTAAGGTGGAACTCTAATGGATCTAATTTATGGAGGAATGTTATCCTTTTAGAAATTAGGTGATTTAGAGCAGAATTCAAATGAAGCTCCTTTGTAATCACATTCACTATAGAAAACTGCACAAGCTTCTTTTGGTTCATACCATAATTTGAAATCTCTGAAACCCCATGATTCTAAATGATAGAAAATAAATACTTACCATCTGCAGCATCTTAATCTAAGGTGGATGTAAATACAACTTCAGCTTTAGGAGCTTAATGGTTAAATATTTGATCTACTCCTACAATACCATCAAACCAAATTCCTTAACCACAGAAATTAGCACCTCCAGTTTATAGATTCCATGATGTCTTCCAAACATCAGTTCCATCAACTTTGATAATCATAAATTCTCCATCCCAAGAATCAATTTTATAAATTGTAGATTAAAGTCTGAGTCTTTTGTGAGGTGGTACATCAAATGTCTTTGTAGCACTAGCACCACGACCCATAATATCAAAACCTCCTACCATAGATTTTCCACTGCATTCATTGATTTATTTTCCACCCTTATTTTTATCTAAAATCCATCCATTAATTCCTGTAAATTTATCTTCTAAAAATGATTATTCTAAAAGAATGAAATTTGGTAAAGCTTAACATTTACCTCCAACTAAAGCCCAATTATTAGCACATTCTATTATTTTAATAAATATAAAATACTTTTGCAATCAGAATCTTTTGGTCCTGTACATTCAGCACAATTTTCAGAACAGGAGGCATAATAGATATATAAATCTCTCAAACCAAATGATTCATTATTTGGTGCTTCATCAAGAGTAGTTGTAAATTCAACTCTTGCTTAATCACCAGTATGATCAATATCAACTTCTGTTCTAGCAAACATAGTTTTCCATTCAAAAATTGGGCAACCACAAATCTTTCCAAAGTAACCTTCATGCCATTAAAATCTTCTTTCCCAAACCATTTTTCCATCTACTTTAATTTAAGCAGCTTCATTATCCCAAGAATCAATCTTAGCCCAAAGTACTTTAATCTTTAATTTGTAATGGGGATTGACTTTTAAGACTTTGCTAACAACAGCTTTACGACCTGTCTTATCAAATCCACCAAATAAAGCAACACCTTGAAATTAATAATATTTATAAATTACCTCCACAATTAGTAGCTGACTTTTCTCCTCCTGCAATTTCCCAACCATCAGCTCCTAATTAATTAGCATCTAAAGATCCCCAACTACTTGAAAATGATTACCAGAATGAACAATTTTCTTCCTTATCATCAACTTAACAAGCAGAGCAACCCTCTGGACATCTTTCTACTGATAAGACAAAGTCTCTAATAGCCCAAGATTCCTAATTATAATACATCTAAATAATTACATTATCAGCGGCTTCATTCAAGTTTGATGTAAATACTACAACAGCTGTTGGTCCTGTATGTTTTATATTTAAGTTAAGATTAAGTGTCATTTCCATCCAATCTCCACCTTTTCCACACTTTTAACCATCTCCTTCATTATGTCTAAATTTTCTTGACCATACTAATTAATCATCTACAAAAATGTATCCTTCTTCATTATCCCATGAATCTATTCTATATATATATAATCAAATCAAAATACTTCCAAAATTAAACCTTCAAGTTTATTGAAGAATGAGGAGGCAACTCAAATAATTTACTTGCAACTGCCCTGGCACCAAATTTACCGAAACCTCCAAACATTTTTGTGCCACTACACTCTGTTACATGAGCTGGAGCACCTCCGACAACCCAACCTTACAAATTATTTTATCGATATTACCATCTGCATCCTCAAATGCATTTCCTGTAAATGATTAAGACACCACAACAGGCTCTCCGAATACGGAAACAGCACTAAAGACTAATACCAAGAGTATGACTGTTCTGCTATTCATAAATATTAATATTTAATATCTCAGTTCTCAATAATACTTAAAAAACGAATTTTTTTATATATTATTTAATTTAATTCTGAATTATATAATAAAGCAAGGAAAAGAGAAAATCATGACACTTATATAATTTCTAAAAAATTTCTAATTTTTGTTTTTTAAAATAATTTTGTATCAATATTGGTAGATAAGTATTTATATGTGGTTGCTACATGATTAATTTTAATCATTCCTTTTGTTTTTTTAACATTGCAACTTTTTGATTTTTAAACTGATATTATAAATTCTAGCTTAAAGCTTTTGTCCAAAATATTTTGTAACTATGCAAATGACAAAAAAATTAATAGTTCACTTTAATTGATAAAATCTAGATTATGATAAAACAATACATTTATTTAAAACAAATACTAATATATTTAAGATTAAATTAAGTAAGAAAATTTATTGGTGTTAACATAAAAATAATGTTGAAAGTTAAAGCTATGAAAATGTTCAATATTTAATATTCTTTGCTTTTTTAAATTAAATTATTGATATACAGGCTATATTCGTTTATTTTAGCTATCATTCAATATATCTAAAAGTTGATATAATAAAGATTTTCTCCTAACCAATATTTAGAAAGAATCAGCTTCTCTAACCATACAGATATTAATAATACTCATTTTTTTATTTTTTCTAAATTAATTCAGGATAATTTTTTATAGATATAAATAGCACATTTGAAAAATTTTTAAAGACACATTCCTTTATTATTTATCCTTTAAAATTAACAAAACGACCAAAAAGAATTAGTAAATAAAAACTTGGAATTTTCTAAATTAAATAAAAAATACTTTATAATAAATTACATAATTTATATTAGACCCAATAAAATTGATTTGCGATAGATATTATATTAAAAAGGATTTCTTTAAATCTGAATTATTAATTTAAGGCTTCGAAGGATATGGAATATTTAATAAAAATGATCAAACCTTTAAATTATTAAAATAATCTTATAAAATTGTTCTTTGCTGATAATGGAGAGATATTAAATGAAGGAAACAATAATATTTGAGAAAAAATCATTGAAGATATTTTAATTAAAATTTTTGAACTTATGTTAATATAATATAAGAATACAATTTTTGGTAGTTTGTTTATTATTGAGGATATTATTTGGAATAGAATCAATATCACGAACATGAATTTTGCCTTTAACCCAGAAACTTAATAAATTCATTAGTATACTATCGTAGATTGATGCGAATGTTTAAAAATAGCAAATGTATCCTGTACTAAATTCATTAATGGAGCTAACCATATTATGCCTTTTAATTTTTCAAATTAAAGGACATAATTCTAAAATGCTGGCAGTTTTCCTCAACATTAAATTCATGATTGAATTTATCAATTTTATTTCCAAATTAACATTTATATCAATCTTCTAAAAAAATAGACAGCAAGTTATATAAATGATATATAATTTCAAATTAGATAGAGCTAAAAGAGTAGAATTAATAGGATATATGAATTATTGTTGAGTTCCTATAATAAAAAATAAATATTCGGAATTGCTTCATAAAGAACTGTATATTTTTAATTATTGATTAATTTAAAACAGGTATTATCGATAAATATTAATTATAGAAGGGTTTGGTATACTTAAATTACCTAAAATTTAATTTTGATAAGTAATCTATAAAGCAAATTTAATAATTAATTAGAAATTGTATTACAAAACTTTTAAAAATGTACCCAATATTAACTAAATTTTTTTTTACAATATATAATTAATCTGAGCCCTAAGTAATTTTAGGATTTTTATAAATCAAAATTTTAAATATAAAATTAAGTGAAAAATCAAAAGAATTTTATATACAGACCCAATCATGTTTTTTTTATTGAAATTTAACTATTAAAGCAAATTTAAACCAAAGAATATTTAGCATTATTAATGCACACCTAATGTTACATTTGATGATTCCCAAAATTCTTTTTATCTAGATAGAAAAAGTAAATCAAATATATAATTAGTGGTTTACAATTTAAAATCATGAATTGATAATCATTCTCATTATACCCTTTTTGGCATTTTTACAGTTATTTCAGCTTGTTTAATTTGTTTAAAATAAAAAATGAAAAAAAGCTGAAAATATCATCATAAATAAATGAAAATAAACACATTATCATTTTTATTATTAATTTTCATCATTTTTTACTTCTGTTATTGATTTTGAAAATCGCAACAAATCAACTTCACTAGTTACAAATGATTTTAATAATTATTGCATTTCCTCTTGCTTTTTCTTAGCTATCTTTTGTTGAGTTGTTAATTTTTCATTTGGCTTGAATTACATTTATAAATCAGGATCATTAATTAATTGAATTGCTCTAGACATTTTTTAAGCTGTCTCTTCTTCTATTTTATTGGCCTACATTAAAGCAAACCTATCAATATATAATAATAAATAAACCCAACAGTAGATTTCATTTATTCATTAGATGTTCTCATATTTTTTAATCTTGTAGTTTATCGAGAAAAAAATGCATTATATCTATCAATTTATTATGATTGCAATCTCTGTAATTATTAACGATTCTAAAGAAAATTAAGAACTCTTTATTAGTAAGTCTCTTTTCTTAATATAGTTTCTTCTTATAATCTTTTTTCTTTTCTCATAATAACCTCATCTACATTTCTTTATTCAACTTTGTGAGAATTTTCTTATTGTAAATTCTATTTAACTTTTTTGAATTTTTCACTTTCAATTGACTTTTTGGTTTGGATCTAGTCAATTTATTTTGATAACAAATTATTAATAATTGGTTAGGATTTTTAATATTTATTGACTATATTTTCTAGATTTTTTTCAAAATTATCCTACACAAATCTTTTACCGAAATCTTTATGGGATTCGCAATGAGCATCAACAGCACCTATTATTGTATAAATTATATTAGTACGTTTTTATTCTAATTTTTATTTCATTTTTTCAAGTTATTCTTCATATTTCTAATTTTATTTTTCTTGAAATGAATGTTATCTTTATTTTTTCATCTATCTTTCATTTTTCATATGTTCAATTTAATTTTTCCTCATTTCTTCTAAATTATTAATTTTATCATCACTATAATAAATTATTTTTTTACATTAAAGATGCATTTTTGAGTAATTCACTTCTTTTATTAATTAATTCATCTTCTTATTTCTTTTTCATTTTGTGATTAATTTTTATTTTCTCATTTACTTTTTCTAAATGTTCCTTGACAGGCAAGATTTTATGATCATAATCAGTTTTTAATGCTTTTCTAACTTTTTCAATTTTATCTTCTTATTTTAATTTATAATCAGTTCTCCTCTTTTCAATGTCCAATTGAAATAATAATTATTTTTGATAAATTTATTTCTTCTTTGACAATTTGTCTGATATAATTTAAATTCTAGAATCAGCATATTATTTGGATTCAGCATCTAATCCAAAAGTACGTCCAATTTCGTTCTAGATTCCAAATTATTCTGATTTTTCAATTAAATCATGTCTTCTTTTAACTTTCCTCTTTTGTTAGATAATTTAATAACCCCATTCTACTCTTAAATTGAATAGATACTTGCAATTTTATAAGCATAATATTTAAAACGTAAAGCTTAAATTTATGGATCAGGATCATAAAAGTCAGAGAATTTAACAATTCTAAAAAATTCTAAATCAATGCCAAGCTATTGGCCTAATAATTGTGTTTATGGACTAAGAGGTTGTAAACATTCAATGAATTTATTTAGTTGATCTACAGCTTCATTAGCTCTACCTTCTTTTATTAAATTGAGTGAATCAGGGAGACTAAAATTCATTATTTATATTATATAACTCAGTCTTTCTTAAAAAAATCATAAGGTTTTTTACAATTAGGACATTCATCTTCTACCTTTGGTTCATCACAAAGAATACATTCTCTTTCGTAATCTATAAAATATATTGTTAAAAAATACCTTTTTTGATAATTCGAGGTAGCAGTTCCAATTCATATAAGATTTCAAATTCCTCATATCCTCCAACAAATAGATTATTGATCGTAACAAAAGGTAATTGATAACGATTTAAGATTTCTTTAACCCAACCTTAAGCCATTTTATTATCAACAAGATCGAATTTATAGAATTTAATGTTCTTAACTTTTAACATATGAAATAGCTGCATTTAATCAGATCTAATTTTTTGATTTGTGGCAATTGAAGAATAATAAACAACCAAAGGCTCTCTTTTAGATTTTACAGTTTAGCGGATTGCTTTCAGAGTTTTATATTTCTTCCAAACTAATTAAATAGAAAGAGCAGAAATATTTTTGATTTCATTTTCTAATTATTATTCATCATCAAATTCTTCTTGTGGGTTTTAATCCATTTATAAATTAAAATATTTAAATTATTTTTTATGTTGTCTATAGCAATCATTTAGATTCATTAGTAATATATATTTAGTTTAATAAAATATTTAAATTGATACTATTTTTAAACTATTCAAATAGTATGTACAATTATAAAATTAGACACGATATAAAGAATATATATATATGTATGTTAATTGTAATAATGTTTGTTGTTCATTTTGGTTCAGTGTGTCCAACGCTTTTACTGGCTTCATAATAACCGAATTCAGAGGGTAATCTATAATTTCCTGGAGCAGGTGTTTAATCTAATTTTTCACTATGATAATACTTTTTTCATTAGAACCTGTTCTTCTTGCTTCTTTTGGAAAGCTTCTAACATTCGAGTCATGGAATTTAGATACAAAATATCTACCATCCTAAAAATTAGTATAAAATTATATACTTATTGGATTCCTGTCTTATCAAGACCATATTATCCTGGACCAGGTACTTTAGTGGCTAAAATAATAATAGAGGGATTTATTAATACAATAATCAGTGGTGAATCTCTTTGATGATTTTGGATTGAATAGTGTTGCACATGAGTTACTATACTTTGATATTGGATATCTTCCCTTCTCATTAATAGCTGGTAATGATTCATATTATCCTGGTCCTGGAACTTTGGCATTAGATATTAATGAGCTTTTTTAAGGTTTAGGTCTCATTGTATATCTGATATCACTTAAAGTCGTTCCTAAATCATAAGTTCCAGGAGCTATAAGATAATAATTATAAATGTATATAAACCTGGAGTTTTAAGATTTAAGGTTCCTAGAATACCTGTGCTAGCCATTTTATCTCTACTAACACCAAATTTAAATCCTTTGTTTTTTTTTAAATTCAATTAGACATCACTACCTAAATCATATTGTTAAGGAGATGGACTTGGAACAACCACTTTTGTAAAATCAAGCCTGCAATTTATTAACAATTATGTACTTATTGCCTTTGCCAATACCTGCTGATCTTTTTTCAATCTAAGAGGGTAGATTGTAAAATGCTTATTAGCAACTTAAAATTTTGATGAAATAATATACAATGTAGGATTGGCCAATTTGCCAAATCTTTCAGACTTAGAGAAAGTCCATAGATTCTTTGAAGGACTAAGGTTTAATGGTGATTGGCAAATCTATTGGCAGGTCGAAACAGTTATTGACATTATAAAATAATAATTATTGTAAATCAATAAAAACGAAGCTGTTTATAATATTAATATCCCTTTAAATCAAATTTAAGTTTAAATACTTAACCAATTATTATGAATAAAAATGGAACAAACATTAATAGATAAGAAAATTATCATTTGAAATGAAGTCAAGATATTTATATAATATAAATTATATTCTAATAAATTAATATATAATATTAAATAAAATATGAAAATAAACCAAAATTAAATAAAATGCACATGAGAACTATGATTAAGTTATTATGAATGGCAAACATAAGATTCATATTTATAATTATAAGATTGGATAATTTTATGATTTATGGTGTAAAATTCAAACAACCTAAGTGGTATAAATTCTGTAAATATCATCAAAGGTTGCAAGTTCTTCCTCTTTTTATTTTCTGAGTTCCAAGTAATGTTAATAAGAATCATTGTAATCCTAAGAATATTAATATAAATAGATACATCTTGGCTAACTTAATAAGCAATAGTGATTTGCTTAAGTCTTGCATTACATTGTCTTGCAATTCCAACTCTACTAGTTAATTGATTTGTGAGTTTAATCTAGAAATAAATATAGAATGAATACTAAATTTTCTTTTTCTCCAGCAATTTATTTATCAAAGTATTGATTTTCTAATTCAATATGTAATTTGAAATCAATATAGATCATAGAACTTCTGACTTCATCTTCTTATTCTAAATCTAATGATTTTTTAGAATGTTTTTCAATTGCATCTAATAATTTTCTAATATCCTAGATTATATAAATATAAATATAATACACTTAAATCCTCCTCTTCTTCAGTTTATTTTTAACCACCACCATTATCTTTATTTGTTTGATTAGAATCTCCACCATCTCCATTATCATTATCATCACCAATATCATTATCATCTTCATCATCATTTGTATCATCATCATCTTCTCCTGTTGGATGAGTTGGTTCATCATCTTATTTATGATCTTCTTCTTCTGATCCTTCTTCATTACTATCAGGTTAATCTTCTGGTGTATCATCTTCAGGTTATTAATCTTCTTCTGATTATTCTCCTTATTCTTCAGATAAGTCTCCTTATTCTTCTGATACATCATCTGATTCTTCTTCTGTATCATCTGATTCTTCTTAAGGTTATGGTTTAGGTTATGGCTTTGGTTATGGTTTTGGTTTTGATGATCCTCCTTAACCACCACCATTTGTAAATCTTATATGTATATCATCGTCACCATCTGTTCCATCATCATTTTAAACTACTACAACAGTGTTAATAGAATCATCACATTAACCAGGAATAAGAACAACTGCACTATCGGCTTTATCATCACCATCACCAGATGCCATAACTGTTGTTTATTATTATTAAAGAAGTATTTTATTAGCATTTCTCCTTCCTCTTGTATGACTTAATACAGATTCTGTCAAATCTTATTCTTCACCTTCAATGTCTGGTAATACATATGAACCATCATCTTTCATTTCTAAACTATCAACCATTGTCAAAAGCTTTCCTGTTTGATAGATTTACACAAATTTATGTACTCTTTATAAGAATTCTTATTTTTAGGCACCTGTTGCATTAGAATCAAACTTATCTAATTGTTCTCTCAAAAATCTGACCAATGCCAATGCTATTTTGTAATTCTTGATGTCATGTACATAATTGTTGCTAGCTTAACATCTATGATAGATGATTTATGTACCTATTCACTTCCAATACTCCTAATCTTTAAGAATTCAATCCTTATCTTTTTTACATCCAAGAGACAAAATCATTTGTTATTTTGATATCCCTCTATTTGCTTTAAACATCGTCATCCTTCTTTGCACATTCACTTCTTTATTCAGATGCTGAAAAACCTAAGGCATCGATTACAGATTGTTTATTTTTCTTATGCAATTCCCAAGCTGCATCCAAGGCCTCAATATCTAATTACACATTAGTTTTCAAATCTGTCAACAATTGTTTGACAGTATCAAGATCTGAATTTGCATGTAATGAATACATGCAAAGAGTCACTATAATCAGTGTCCACTTCATTAAATAATTAATAAAACAAAAACGGATTTTGGAATCATAATTGCTTTAAAAGTTCATAATATAATTGTTTAGTTCTCTCATTTAGTTGTTACGGAATCTCTAAGTTCAAAATAACAATATGATCTCCCTTTTTCCATTAAGATTGTCCATATTGAATACCATACTGTGGGATTTACAACTTAGTCCTAGGTTATTATGCTCCTGGAATAGAAATCTATTGTATATAAATTAATTGTAAACCTCTAATGCTCCCCAAATAGTTTGAATCTATTTCTTACATCCTAAAACCATTTCACTCACACTCAACTCTAATTCACTAATAATATTATTGCCATCTCTTCTTAAAGTATTGTCTTCCTCAACTTCAACCTCAATCAATAAATCTCCTGGTTCTCCTGAATATTTACTCTATTATATCTAAAAATATAAATACTGCATGCCCATATCTAGTTTATCTAATTATAGTTCCATTTTAAATTCCTTTTGGTAATTCTATTTCAACATCAAACTCTTTTTCAACTATTCCACTTCCTTCACATACTAAACAAGGATCTCTAACTACCTTTCCCCATCCATCACAATTATTACATTTAACTTCCATTGAACTTCCTCCATCTACATAAAATAACCATCCTGAACCACCACAAGAAAAACACTTTTATGCTGATTTCCCTGGAGCACATCTACTTCCCTTACATGTATCACATGTTTTCTATCTTCTATAAGATAATAAATGTTTTCCACCAAATACTGAATCTTTAAAACTTAATTTCAACCCCAATTTTATATCATCTCCTTTTTTTTTAGCATAATAAGCTTTCTTTTTACCATGCTTCTATTAAAAGAATTAATCAAATTCATTAAATATTGTTTCATATTCTGCTTAATGAAATTTAGAATAATATTTCCCTTTTGATTATTTTCTCTTTGCTTTTTATTAATAACCATTTGCATTCCCTCTCAATTCATCTTCAAAATCTTATTCATTGCTGTTATCATCTTATACACCACAAGTATCATACATTCTTTTCTTATTCTAAAATTAATATTAGTTATACTTCATCTGATAGAATCTCATAAGCATTATTTACTTAAGTAAACATTTTAGCAGCATCCTTTGCATTGTTTTTATCTGGATGGTAAAGCTAAGCCAATTTATAATAAGCTGATTTTATTTCTTGAATCGATGCACCCTTATTTATACCTAAAACTTTGTAAGGATTAGCGATAGTTGAAAATGTATAAATTAAGTTTTTAATCATTGATAATTATTTAATAACATCATTAAATTATTTAATCACATTAATTATGAATGCTAAGCTGATACAAGCTCATCTTTGTTGGCGATTATGCTCATATCTTATTTAATTAAGAGATGTTAAGTTTTAAGACCTATAAATCTAGATTAGAAAACTGGAGTTTATGTACCAAGCATTTATGAATTCTGAATTTCATTTTACTTGGTTTTAGAACCAATGAATCTACTTTAAATTAAAGGTTATCTAAATTTTTATTAACTAGTTTAAGTATTAGTATTGAATTGTTTTTAAGATGGATATGTTTAATAGTTATTATTATTAAATTGATTATAAAGTTATTATTCAAAAGAAGCGTTAACTTCTTGAGGTTTTTATTAAATTTCTTATTGTTCCTAAGTTTAAATAACTTATTAAATTTAAGGAACATTTAAGAATACTGTTTTAGAATTTGATTTATGCATATAATAATGATTGGTTTCTAGATGAGTTTCTTGTTAATAAATTTTATTTTTAGGTTTATATTGTTTTCTTAAAAGATTAGAAACTTGTACGTCTATTGAGGAAGTAAAAGGCATAACTTTTTGGAGTAACTAAATTTACTATTAAATTTTATTGGTTTCTTGTTATTCTTTCAAAAAATACTCAACTTCATTTTAATTATCAAAATGAGGTGGCCAAAAATCATAGATATTTTATGCTCTACCTCCATGTCTCTATTCTAATTATTTTGGGTTAATGTAATTAAACATCAATGAGAAATCATTAGAAATAAATTCAATTTTGTGTCTAGAATTGTAGGGAATAAATTATTCTACAATTTACCAAGTAACTTAAATAGATGTTTATGGTTGTATTATAAACATTTTCTCTAAGTAACAAGGGAAATTACTTTTAAGCATTTCGAAAATCTAATTCATATGCTATTAAAAAAATAATAAAGAATGAATACCGTGAATGGAACAGAAAATGCAGTTGTATTTTTCGATTCAATAATAACAAACCAANCATCTTATACACCACAAGTATCATACATTCTTTTCTTATTCTAAAATTAATATTAGTTATACTTCATCTGATAGAATCTCATAAGCATTATTTACTTAAGTAAACATTTTAGCAGCATCCTTTGCATTGTTTTTATCTGGATGGTAAAGCTAAGCCAATTTATAATAAGCTGATTTTATTTCTTGAATCGATGCACCCTTATTTATACCTAAAACTTTGTAAGGATTAGCGATAGTTGAAAATGTATAAATTAAGTTTTTAATCATTGATAATTATTTAATAACATCATTAAATTATTTAATCACATTAATTATGAATGCTAAGCTGATACAAGCTCATCTTTGTTGGCGATTATGCTCATATCTTATTTAATTAAGAGATGTTAAGTTTTAAGACCTATAAATCTAGATTAGAAAACTGGAGTTTATGTACCAAGCATTTATGAATTCTGAATTTCATTTTACTTGGTTTTAGAACCAATGAATCTACTTTAAATTAAAGGTTATCTAAATTTTTATTAACTAGTTTAAGTATTAGTATTGAATTGTTTTTAAGATGGATATGTTTAATAGTTATTATTATTAAATTGATTATAAAGTTATTATTCAAAAGAAGCGTTAACTTCTTGAGGTTTTTATTAAATTTCTTATTGTTCCTAAGTTTAAATAACTTATTAAATTTAAGGAACATTTAAGAATACTGTTTTAGAATTTGATTTATGCATATAATAATGATTGGTTTCTAGATGAGTTTCTTGTTAATAAATTTTATTTTTAGGTTTATATTGTTTTCTTAAAAGATTAGAAACTTGTACGTCTATTGAGGAAGTAAAAGGCATAACTTTTTGGAGTAACTAAATTTACTATTAAATTTTATTGGTTTCTTGTTATTCTTTCAAAAAATACTCAACTTCATTTTAATTATCAAAATGAGGTGGCCAAAAATCATAGATATTTTATGCTCTACCTCCATGTCTCTATTCTAATTATTTTGGGTTAATGTAATTAAACATCAATGAGAAATCATTAGAAATAAATTCAATTTTGTGTCTAGAATTGTAGGGAATAAATTATTCTACAATTTACCAAGTAACTTAAATAGATGTTTATGGTTGTATTATAAACATTTTCTCTAAGTAACAAGGGAAATTACTTTTAAGCATTTCGAAAATCTAATTCATATGCTATTAAAAAAATAATAAAGAATGAATACCGTGAATGGAACAGAAAATGCAGTTGTATTTTTCGATTCAATAATAACAAACCAACTTTCAACTTTCCCAGACACTAGCATATAATCTTTTACAACCATGAAAACTATTGATATTGCTCTCATTATATCTTCTATTGGGTATATGGAAATGTCAAACTTATCAGCATTTATCACAACAATTGGTTTCAGCCCTTGTCCTCGTCCACTTATATATACTGCTCCTTATTTCTTGTACATTATTAAATAGAAAATACTATCATTTCTTCTGAGTTTAACGACCATTTGAAATTGTTAGGATCTAAAAGCCATTATTGATGATTTCGCATATGCTATCTTATTTATCTCTAATCATACTTTTATTGTTTCCGGAAAATCGAAATGATTAGCATATAACAATCGTAATATTAATTCATCTTTCAATAGATCCTTCTCCTCTTCAATCTCCTTCTTAAACGCATCTAGTTATTACTTCTCGTAAATGTCATATTCATGTTTACTACTATCTTCAATTCCAAATATTTTTCTAATAGCATTTTTTCCAGTTCCTCTCTTAATATCAGTTCCTTTTAAATTAGTATATTTTAGTACTTTCTAATTTGATTGAATCCTTCTATGATTATTACAATCTCAATCTTTCGAGATTATATTGACTATAAATTTGATTCATTCCAAAATTTGAATTTTTTTACAAATGAAATATTATTATCAATTTAAAGCTATCATTACAGGAGCAAAAGCAGTAGGTAAAAAAACTATTCTCAAATCATTGGACTCTAATACTGATCTCAGAACTATTTAATTACATGATAAAATTTAAGAAACACTCTTTGTCTATGAATTCTAAAAAGATGAATCCTATATACCAGATGCTCTTTGCTTTTTAATTGTATGTGATTAATCATCATAGTCCATCTAATTTGCCAAATCTAAGTATAATTTTTTATATATATACATAGAATTCAAATAATACTTAAATAACTGAATCGTTCCTATTAATTTCTTGTACTTATCAATAACAAATAAGATTCCCAACTACTTCTTTAAGATGAGTTAGAAAATTATTGTGCTTAAAATCAAATCAATTTTATTGCTACTAGTGCTAAACTTGGAACTAATATTGTTCTTCTTCAAAACCTTCTCAGAATTAAAGCATAATTGATCATGAAAAAGTGTCAAATCTTGCCATTCCCTCTAGAATCAAATAGAGAATAAGAATTTAAAAGCATCAATCATCAAATTAAATAAGCAACACCCGATAGACCTTTACCATAAACACCTTAATCCTCTGGAAATAAAGAAAACTAATCTGATTATAAAAGTATTAAGAGTGAAACTGTTGAAAGCTTTAGGGCATTTGAATTAATTCAAGATAAATCAAATTATCAAAATGATACCACTAATATACTAACATCAACTACCTCATATTAGAATTCTTAAATATAAAATTCATAAGTATTACCAAGTACTAAAAGAGCCTATCTTGATTTAAATAGTAGTTGCAGATTAAGATCACCATCACCAATTTCAAAAAAACTTATATGTTTAGAAATTGAATACAATAAGTAATTTAAATACAATTATCTTAGTTAGATATTTAAGGTTGATATATATTTTGATGATTCCTATCCTTTGATAATTGAAAGAATCTGTTCTATTATGTAAAAGAAAGTTAAATAAACAATCAAAAAATCATTGATGTTCCTTATTGAAACTCATGTTAATTAATTTATGCAAAAATTGACTCAATAATTTTAAGAAAAAAGATGTAAAAGTATTTATTATTATCATCAAGATTTGAGAGTAAAAGAATGTTATGAGAAATTTATTTCTATGAATAATCAATAAATTCTTACATCGAGATCTAATATTGGAATAATTGTTCTTCTAATATAATAAAAGATTATTAGAATTCCAGTTTATGAAAATGATGAACCTTATGATTTAGCATTCAATTCAATAGTTTAATACAAATTGAAAAAGAGTTGCATAAGTGCTTTAGTTTAAAAGATTAAGTTGTTATAAACTGAAAAGAATATCTTAATTCTAGGATTTTTTGATATAACACCTCATGAATTCATTGCATATCAAGGAGAAAACATTTAAAAGTAAACTAATAAATTAATTAATCTTAGAAAACTATTTCAATTTTTTATGTAATTTAAATTGGATTATGAATATTATAGGCTTCTCTAATAAATATAATGACAAACATAATATAAAAATATAATCGTTAATGAATCATCGACTAAAAACTGAGCTTACAGAAAGACATCTAAACTATGATATCAATTACGATAGCATAATCATTGTAAAAGACAAAGAATAAAAAAATATAAGTCCCCAAGCTCTTTTAAGTCTTGAGTTTTATGGAAAATAAACTCCAAATCAATCTACTAAATTGATCAAAAATTTCAAACATACATAGAGAATCACTCTTTCATCATTGAAGAAAGCTTAAGCTATTTACAGTCCAATCTTTAATTCTAAGTAAAAAAAAAGATTTCCAGAATCTCCTTCAAACTTTCGAATTAAACCATCTAAATTGAATTCTCATAATACTACTAAACCAACTCTCTATACTCCAAGTACAAAAACTCAAGAGAGTTAGTTAGAATCATAAACACAATTTGATATTAAGACTTAAATATCAAAAATTAAGTTAATATTAAGTTCTAATAATCCTAAAAAGTATCAAATAGACTTTACTAAATTTAAAAAATCTATATATTGATTATAGTTATAGTAAATTATCATTTCTTTTTATAAGTATTCAAAATTTATTTAGAATAATTTATCTTACTTATTAAGTCATCTAATCTCTTATTTTTGAACCAGCCATCTTAATCCTAACATTCTTAACATTGATTTTGGAAACATTTCTCACAATAAGAATGACCACATGGATAACAAGTATTAGTCTTTTATAATATTTCCATGCAATTATTGCATGTAATAGATGTGATTTATGCATCTAAAGCAAGAGCAATATTTTATAATTGACTCTAAAATTCTTTCTCTTTCTAATCTAATTAAAATAATAAACCTCTCATTTTCTCAGGATTCTAGTAATGATTAAATCTAAAATAATTACCAACATTTCTAATTCCTCTTCTGCTTTCTTTAATTTCTAGGTCAAATTCTTTACATCCAATCCTAGTTTATATGTTATATCTTAATTCTCTATAAATATTAATTTAATATTAAATACAAGTTAATTCTTTTTATAAATTAGCATTCTTCATATTTAATTATTATAAATTTTCCATTTATTCATAAACTTATTAAGCAAGATTTCTATTCTCTTTATTTGCAACAGTTAGATCATTTCCTAATTAATCAATTGTAATTTTCTATGTTTTATTCTCCTTGTTCAATTGATCTAAATCTATTAATGCTTAGTCTAATTTTATTTTAAGAGAAACTATTTATTCATTAAAGTTAGATATTTATTAAGATCCCAATTTATTTGTTTCTTTGTTCAATATCTTCAATATATAATTAATTTGATTGAGTAATTTATTAAATATTTTATTTCAACTAATTTAAATCAGACGTAAGTATAAATTCAACAGGTTATGTAAATTACTTATATGTCGTTATCAATCCATCAAATTCGCTATATTTTTATAAGTCTTATTAAATTTATCTCATTTATGATAATAAATTTTATTCGTTTTCACTTTTATTTTTTAATTGTCCTTATAAACTTTTCATAATCTATTCATTATTAAGTGATGTAGATTTTATAGTTTAAAAAGTCTTTAATTCATCTTCAAAATAAGATGCTTTTTAATTGATTTCTTTATTTTATTGTTATAATTATGCAATTTAACTTCTTACACTTATAATTTCTTGTTAACATTATTATAATTTTTCATTTAATTTGAATATTTCTTATTAAGATTATTCAAGTTTTTCATTTTTCAACTTGAAATCAGATTAAAGTTTTTGATAATCTTTAATTAATTATATAAAATTAGTATTTCCAAAATTTGATAAGACTAACTAATACTGTTCAATAATGGGCATATTTTCATTAACAAATTGAGTCAGATTTTGATTTTCATCTATAATAATTTAATATTATTTTTATGATTCTAATAATTATTTTTGTAATTATATGATGACTTAATTTTACTGACCATCCTATTAATTTCTAGTTTATAACACAGTATTTTGATTGTTAAGTTGATCTTATAATTATTTAATTTGAGATTACAATTCTTAAATCTCTTATTATTATTTAGCTATTTTCAAGAAGGATATCTATATGTTTTTATAATAAATAAAATTACATTTTCTTCAGTTTTGAGATGTTTGATGGTTCCTTAAGCTGCTATATTATCTAATTTCAAATTTTCTATTAGACTATTGAGTTAGGTATGATTTTTGAATGCTATTTATAGATTTAATTCTTTATCGGAATTAGATTTCTAATTGATTATTTAATTTTATAATTACTTCTAAATAACTAATTTATTCTTTTAATGTTTAAATAGTTGATTGTAACTTTTCATTATCTTTGGATAAAGATGGTAACAAAGATAAATCCATTTACAGAGAAGTAATGGTTGATGACATTTATCGAATTTCATTTTCTTTTCTATTTATAATTGCTTCTAGTTAAGTAATTTAATTTTTGAGATTATTAATTTCAATATTTAATTTTTAGTTAGTTTTTCTTTCATCTAATAATTATTCATGATATTATTAAAATTCTTTTAGTTTTCTTTAATTTTCATTTAACTTGTATTGATTATCTTTATCTTATAATTATAATTATTAGTTGATTTCTCTCAATTTAATAACTTCTTCACGAATACCCATATTCTCTTACTTTTCAGTCTTTAATAAAGCAGATAAAGATTCAAAATTTCTTTAAATACTAAAGATGGTTTGATTTCTTGTTTCTACATCTTTTTATAATTCTTCACATTTTTTTTTCCAATCCTCTTAAATTTCATCTTATAATATAGATTATTGAAATTAAACAGTTTTTTTCTTAGAAGTAATGAAATTATAATTTTCAACTTGTTATTTCTGTTGAATTTAAGGTAATTAAACTCTTTAATTTCCTCTTGACATTAATTTATTTATAAAATTGATAAAATAATCAGGATTAAATAAATCTGTTAACTGCAGGAATATTAATGAGTATAGATTTAGGAAGTGCAAAAGCAGGATCAATAGGATTTAATTGATATTTATCACCATTAAGTAATGACAATGCTGCTAATCCAAAGAAAGTATGAAAAACATCAGGTTAATTATTTGGTCTATCAGCAATTCCACCATCACTATCTTAGCACTATAAATATTAGATTATAAATTTAAACCTCAAGTATATAATTTTCTAAAGCTTATTAATTTATCCATTATTCTCTTTTTAATAAACATAATGCACTATACATCCACCAAGAATAACATACATCAGCTAATTTTTCAGGTCTTCCATTCAATCTAAATATATAATATATCATATTATACCCTCCTTTACTAGTTTATCTCTCATGAATCCACATTGCTAACTCATCAATATTAAAAGATAGATCTTCACATAAATAAAGGGTTCCAACACAACAAAATACATATGCTCCATGAGATTCTGCATCTGGACTAAATAATTATACATTTCATTATATTTACATTCCTCCAAAAGATCCATCGAAATTTCTACATTTCTTTATGTAATTTGCTGCTTTCTTAATATCTATCAAATCTCTTTTATTTAATAATGTTAATGAAGATAAACCACAATATGAAAATCTAGCATCTACTTCTCCCCACTATAAATTTAATTGTATATATAATTTACTTTATCTCCTTCAAATGATCCATCCTTTCTTTATCTACTTGCTATATATTTTGCTGCTTCTTCATAATTTAATTCACATCCCAATAAAAAACTTAATAAAATTGCATAATGTGTATTTGTTATATGAGAATCATGATTTGTATTACCACCAAAACCTCCATCCTCATTTTAACATTATTTAAGCCATTAAGATAATTACTATTTCTTCTCCTCACTTATTTAATCAATTTTATTTAGACAACCTATTGCATTAATTGTCCAATATCCACCTGCCACTTTTAAATGTTCTGAAAGATAATAACCAATCGATTCCAGATCTTTTGAATTATCTAAAGCCATCAAATAAGGTAAATGATTAATCAACTATTACTAATTCATCGTAATTAATCAAATTTTTTATAATTAAAAATAATTATACTATTTTCATTCTAATCTTTATTTTTTGATAGCTGTATTTTTCATATCTCTATAAATACTTTTACCTTTATAATCTATTTATTTATTTTTCACAAAAAATCTCTCAATTTATATTCTACCACACAATTAATTATTTAATTTCTTTATCTTAAAAAATTTTTATTCTATGATTCAAAGATTTAAAGATTTAATAAATTTATAGCATTTCTTAGAAAATTTAATAACAGCCTTTACTTAAATTTTAGAAATCAATCATTCAAATACTTTCAATTTTTATATTCATCTTTTATTAATAAAATATAATCTTTAAATATATTAACTTTAAAGTATTTAACTTTTTTGTTTTATCATTTTATACATCCTAATATTAGAATATTAATTATTAATTTTGTTTTGATACTCAAAGTTTTTGATTTAAACTAATGTCAAAAAGAATTAAATTCTAAAAAACAATGATTAATTAGAAGATGATTGAATAATAGTTTTTAAATTATTATTGAATAAATAAGGATCTTTATGAGTAATGATCTAATTATTTACAATATAAATCTAAGGCAAGAATTATATAGGCTTAAAAAGTTATTAGAATAAAATTTAAGATAATTGAACATTCATAAGAAGCTCTGTTTAAAGATGATGATTTAATGGATTCTTTAATTAGATTTTCTATAAATGATTGTAAAACTATTATTTGTATCAATATATATAATTTAGTTAATAATAAAATTATTATAAATCTTTAAAAATAATGAAAAATTAGCCTAATTAATTTTAAACAAAAAAAATTATTATATTCATAATCTTTAACAATTAAAATTGAATAATTATTTAAGTAAATAAATATTAATTTCACTACTTCAGAATTAGAGTAGATTGTATCCTCTTTAATTAATTTATTTAATATTTTATTTGATATAATTAGATATATTCAATTTCTCACCTTATTTAAATCGAAATTTGATGTTTGATCAAAGCTTTAAAGTTTAGAGTGTAATCCTTTAGGACTTATCACACATTCTAAACTTTTAAAGAGTGGAATCTGCTTTACTTTACATTTCTAAAGATTAGTTTCCATCTCGTTTATTAGGAGATATTTTTACTTCAGAGTAAATAAAGAATATAATAAAATCAAAATTAAAATGATTCCACAAATAATGAATCCTAAAGTTATTTACAATTAGTTAGATTTATGCAATAATAATTCTATTGAAAATTCTATCTTTTTCTTGTGAATTGTTTTATTTATTTGATTAAAAGTTAATTAATAATCTAATTAATAAGTAATATCCTCATCTAAATGATAAAAACATTACACATAATTAGGAACAGGTTCAAATTAATACTAAAAAATATCAAAAGTACTTATTCCTATTACTTTAGTACCAATCATAGAAATATCTTTGATTCCAAATTTTAAAATCTTATATATTTTATTTTCATAGAGTAAGTCTATTTTATTATTTGTGACAAACAAAGCATAATCTTTAAATGCAATAATTTTCTAAACGTTTTTCTTGCTTTGTAATTTCCTAACAATTTATAGTTATGAATCGATGATTTAATATTAGGCTACTATATATTTATATTATCTTTTATATGCTACAAATATATTGCTTTCATTTTAGATACCCAAAGCCACTCCATTTTATATTTAATCAAGTTAATTTATAATGTGAGTTAATTGATTCCATTCAACCTTTAATAATCCTGTTTGCTTATCTAAAATATAAATATTATAGCCATTTTAATTATTATTTATGACAGTAAAATGTGTAATGTTAATTGAATTATTTATTGAAAATTGATAGATCTAATTAGTGTTGTTGTAAATCGTAATTTATCCATTATTTAGTACAAATATGAATTAATCACATATTTCTATTTGTTAAGGTTAATAATTTAAGAACATTTCAAATTCTTAGATATTTTTATCATAAGGATTGAATCTATAAACTTAGTTTGATACAAAATATACTAGGTATGTTACATGAGAATATCTCATTGATGCATTTTAGATGTCTACATTGGTAGGAATCTCATATTTCCAAAATAGGATTTAATCTTGAAAATAATTTATGTATCGATCATCAGTCAATATTAAAATAGAATGTTAAGAGAGGGATAGCATAGCTAAGTTACTTTTGTTGCTACTATCATATTAGGTATATTGTAAATTTAATTAATGGTCTTATAATTGGCATATATTCCATTTATCATTGCTTGTTTACAGCTCGAAATCCTATCCATTTATTGGTAAGGCAAATAAGGTTTTTAACTCATCTTTTTTTATTGTAAATAATTCTGCTAATGCCAATTAAAATATTAAAACAATATACATTTATATAGACATTTTTTTATAAATTTATTACAAATCAATTTAAAATCCCAAGTTTTTAGCTTCATTCAATATTTTTGGATGAACATATTCTCATATATCAATAATACTTTCATAAATAAAAAAATGTAAAGTTTAATGGATTGTAAATAAAATTGTTGTTTGTACTTTTAACTTTATATATACTGCTTCATTCTATTTTTGCTTACTTATTCAAGATAAAATTTTATAATATGATGTAGATGAAGTGATCAACATAATCTGAACAAGTAGAACTATGTTATAACCATAAACTTTTTATAATTAAAAATTTAATAATTAAATTCATAAGGAGACAATGCTAAGTAGTTATTTATTTATCATTTTGTTAATTATTAAATTTAATATTGATTATCAATGATTTGCTAAAAAAAACATTTACTTTTCAAAGAGTCTTATAAAGTTGAATTGCATTCAAATAAAGTTGTATTACAAAATGTATGAAAATATTGAAATAATTAAGTTCAAAAACAAGATAACTTATATTTTGTAATTGAACCTAGAGTCTTTAGTGGATTGGAAATTGGATGAAAGAAATAGTAAAATTAATGCCTTTGGTATTCAGATTGATAAAAAATGGGAATACTTTTATATGGAGGAATAAAATCTTACTCTACTGAAACAATTTCTTGATGGGAAAGTTTAATATTAACACATTTTTAAATAGTATCAAATAATAGGTTACCTTGGCAAAGGAGCTTTTGGAAAAGTATAATATAATATTAAAATAATTCTTAGGTTTTTAAATGTTAAAATAAATCAAATGGAAAGGTTGTAGCATGTAAATCAATAAAGAAGTGTAACCAATATCATGAGAAAGTATGAAAATATTCTAATAATTAGGATTTTTTAAATGAAATTCAGTCAATGCAAAATCTGAAACATCCCAATCTGGTTTAACTTAAAGAGTTTTATATAGAATAAAAACATTTCTACATTTTAATGGAATATGTTTAGGGGGAGACGTTTAAAAATTATATAAAAGTTAATTTTTTAGATGAAAAAGAAAAGATAATCATTGTATAAGTAAAATAAAAATAAAATGATTAGTAATTATTATCCTTGGTTAATTATTTTCATTCAGAAGGATATATTTATAGAGATTTCAAACCTGAAAATATTCTTTTTATTGAAAATAATGTGAATAAGTTAAAACTAATAGATTTAGGACTGACAATTAAAAATGATGAACTATTTAGAAACAAATATTAATTATGTGGCACACCTGGTTATATGGCTCCAGAAGTATTTGAAAAAACTTATACATATGATTTTAAATCAGATATTTTTAGTTTGGGAGTAGTAATTTATGAATTGTAAGAATTTATTTAAAAATATATAGATTTTCTGGGAATTATTTAATGTAAGGCTATGATTCTAAAGAGTTATTAAATGTCAATAAGTAATTTTAATTCAATGAAGAGATTGTCTAAATAACTAAGAATTAAACAATTCAAAAATTACTTTAAGGAATGTTACAAGAGGATCCATTTAAGAGAATAAATAGTAAGGAGGCTTTAGATATATTTAAAAATATGAATTCAAATAGTGATGAATAGTTATCAACTAGCACAGACTGATTTATTTTATATAAATTACTTTAATTAACTATTTTGTAAAGCTAAGTATTTAATACTAAAGTTCTCTACTTTTATTAAGATATAAGAAAATAGAAATTAATTATAATTAGTTTTTTATGAACTAGAAAAAAAGTGATTAATTTTTATAAAATTATGCAAATACATTTTTGCACTCCTTAATATTTCTTCAACATATCACAAAAATTTCCTTTTATAGTTTATGATTTAAGAGAACATTAACATGGTTATTTGAAAAATAGTATTCACGTAACAAATATTAATCGAGTGGAGACAGTTGATGATGTGAAAAAACATTTTGAGTACCCTGAATAATAATCTGAATAGAAGAAATTGGAAAAATTATTTATAAGTAGAAAGAGAAATTACAATTTTTTTGTTCCATTTGATACCTCTGATATGTTCAGTTTATTATTGAAGGATAGGGTAAAGGGAGAAGGATCTGAAATTTCTGATTAATTTAGTATACCTTTCGAAACTGTCACAAAGTGGTGGCATGAGATAACAAAGAAATTACCATATAGAAAGAACTATAAAATTAGAAGCAGAGCATATACAATGGTAATATAAGATGATGATGATGATGACGAATTAGTTGATACAGATTCTTATTAAACAATACTACATTATAAAAAACATCATACTATAGTTTCAAGTAAAAAAGTAGTAGAATTACAAGGTAAATCTATTAATATAAATGAAAGAGATAACAATATCTAATGGTCCTAAATTAAAATAGCGTTCTGCTAGTTAACCAAATAGTATTGGAATAGGATAAGGCAATTTGCATATGAATTCAGAATTATTTGGAGCCACGTTAAAAATTTATGAGATTTTCTAGAAGGAAAAGATTAGATAAATGTTTATAATATTGGATCCAATATAAATAGTTTTTGGAAATCATCCTTTTTTAAATTATGAGATAACAAAAAATAGGGGGTTTTTAGATAAGACATTTCCAAATGAGATAATTGAAAATAAATTATATTTGGGAGGAGGAGATCATGCAAAAGATACCGAGATGCTTATAGATATATTAGGAATAACTCATGTAGTAAATGCAACAATAGAGATATAGAATTATAGTGATTAATGTAATAATAAGGGTATTGATAATAATAGTACAGTATTTAAATATAAAGATATATGATGAGCCATAGATAGATATAAAATAGTATTTTGAGGAAGTATATTAATATATAGAAAATGCATTGATTGGGAATGGAAAAGTAAGAAAGTGAATAAAATAGGTCTTTGTACATTGTGCATAGGGAAAATCAAGATCAGCTTGTTTTATCGTAATGTATTTAATGAGAAAATTTAATTGGGGATTTGAGAAGGCATATGAATTTGTAAAGGAATGTCGAGAAGTTGTTTGTATAAATGAGGGATTCATAAACTAGTTAATAGATATGAATTGAATTGAATATTGTGCTGTTATTTATGATGTTATGATTTGTCATTAAATAATGGACTTAACTTTAGCAATAATACCTGCAGCATCTAGATGATACAATGATAACATTTATGCTGGAGTACCACTCTTAGCAACTTTGTCTACATGGATGGAGTGTATCTTAATTTCATTGTTAAGACTCAATGAAGAGGATACAGCTTCTAAAATAATATGTTTATAAAGTGATTACCATAGAGGCCTCCTTCTTAATAATGATCTTCAACTACAAGAATAGTCTTTAGAGCAGTATTGTTAGCAGCATTTAAGATACCATCATGATCAATAGGTTTAACTGAGAATAAATCCAATACAGTGACATGAATGTTGTCTTATTCACTCAATTATTTAGCTGCTTTGAATATTTCATGAGTAGTAACACCTCCTCCAATGAGCAAGATCTTATCATCATTATTTTATTTTAATATTTTGGATCTAGAGAGAATTTAGATAATATACATTACTTTCCTATTTGAAATACATCATCATTTTTATATAAGATAGGTAATGATGGTCTACTCATTCTAACATAACAAGCAGATTTTTAATTAGCAACTAATTCAATTGCTCTTTCTGCAGATACACCATCAGATGGATATAATACAACACAATTAGGAATAGTTCTAAACATCGCAATATCTTCGAGACCCATTTATGATGGTCCATCTTCTCCAATAGATACACCAGCATGTGATCCAACATATTTTACTTAAGATCCACTAACTCCTCCCATTCTTATTTAATCAAAACCTCTTGCAAAAAATGCAGCAAATGTAGATGCAAATGCTACTTTACCTCTGCAACTAAATCCTTATGCCCAACCTACCATATTTTATTCAGCTATAAAACATTCTACAAAATTTGTTGGAACTGCTTCTTTGTATTTGATTGAGAATGTTGAATTTTTAGTATCACCATCAACAGCTACTATTTATTAGTTAGCATCTGTTTTACTCAATCCTACCAAAGCTTTTCCATATGCTTCTCTTGTTGATTATTTTGCATCAGGACCATAATTAACATCCAAAGTAAAATGACTTTATTAAGGTTTTTCAATTTAAACAGGAACTTCAGGAGTCAATGTAAATCCTCCTTATTATTTCATTTGTTTTTTAACAAAGTCTACTTATGCTTATGGAACTGGTTTTCCATGCCAATCTTCTTTATTTTCCATTTCTAAATATTTGCCTTTGAATGTTTTAGCAATTATAACTTGTGGCTAATTCTTAACATTTCTACACTATATACAATATTTTTGAATTGAGTTACTTATTCGAATGCATCAGTTAATTAATTTAAATTATGTCCATCAATTACTATTGTTTTCCATCCAAATGCTTCCCATCTCTTCTTATACACATTAATATCATGACCAATTGATGTCTCTTCTGATTAACCCAATCTATTAACATCAACTATTGCTGTGATATTATCTAATTTATAATGACTTGCTAAATGTGCTGCTTCCCATACTGATCCTTCTGCTATTTCACCATCTCCCATTAAAACCCAATATCTATTGTTTATCTTATCTAAATATTTTGATGAATAAGCCATTCCACCTGCTACTGATAATCCTTATCCTAATGATCCTGTTGCTACATCAACAAATGGTAATCTAATTACTATATAATTTTACTTAGGAACTGGATGTCCTTCTAAAAGAGAATCGATCTTTCTTAAATTCAACAATTCTTTCTAATCTATATATCCAGCCATTGACCATGCTGCATATAAAATTGGGGCTGCATGTCCTTTTGATAATACAAATCTATCATTTCCAAAATTCTAAAATCTATTTTACATTGTACTCCTGGATCCTTTGGATTATAATGCATTCCTGCCTTTGTAAAAAATAACACTCCCATTATTTCTGCCATTGATGCACATGATGTGGGATGTCCAGAATTTGATGCTATTGTCATCTCTATTGAATGTATTCTCAATTAATGAGCTTTTTATATATTATTCAATTACCTATATCTTACAATTATCCTACATCATAGCTCTCCTTCTATACCTTCTACTTCTTTGTCTATTTTGGCTCTTCTTTCTATACTTAATTCTTTCCTTTTCTTGTTACTCTCTCTGACATATTAAAATAATTTAATTTATCTTTTTATACCTATTTTTAATCAATTTTTATATATATATATTTCATGAGCATCAATGTTATACCTGTTCTTAATCCTCATCAAAAAATGGAAGGAATCTAAAATGTAAGACCTTAAGAAATACTTAAAATTCTTGAAAAAGCAAAAAATCTACCCATCAAACAAGAAGGTGACTTTGTTAAGTTACAAAATTATCAATTCTAAGTTGATGAATTTGAAGAAATGGAAGATCCTTTAAAAAATAATAAAAAAAACAAAAAGTAATCTAAAAATGATTTGAAAAAAGAATCCTAAAAAGAATCCTAAGATTCTAAAGATAAACAATAACTTGATCAAAACAATGATATTGATTTAAAAAAATAACCAAAACCAAAAGCTAAATAAATTAAGTAACAACCAAAAATCTAATAAGAATAAAAAGAAGAAATTCTAGATGATTAAGAAAATTAAGATATTTAGGATAATAATAACGAAGAAGAATAATTGTAAGAATAATAATAAAATGATGAAGAAGAAAATTAACAAAAAGAAAGTGAAGTTGATTTAAATGATATGTAAAAATAATTAAATGAATATGAAGAAGAAAATAATAACTAATTATCAAAATCATAATAATAGTCTGAAGCACAGGAAAATTCTTAAATTTAACAATCATAAATTTCTTAAAAATCTTCAAATTAGAAAAAGAAGAAATTTTAATCTGGATATGCTGCTATGATGGATGATCTCTTAAATGAATCAGAAGTATCAATTAATGACGAGTAATAATAATCTAAAAAAGAAAAAAGTTAAGAAAAATAAATGATTTCATCATAAATTGATGCTAAAAAAGAACAAGAATATCTGAAGATTATAAAATAATACTAATAAAAAATTAAATAATTGAATGAAGCAATTGAATAATAAAAATAGCCGGTTCTTAGTGAAATAATAGAAGATTAAATAGAAGATATCTAAGAATAACTTGATAAAACTGAAGAATCCATTTCAAATAAGAAACATCTATATCCTGGTATGGCTGGAATAGGAATTAGCTTATATGATGAATTTAGATTGCCTCAAATTGTTGAAGATTAAGTATAACATCGTCTTAAAGAATTGGGAGTCTAAGATAGAAATAATTAATAAGATGAATACAACGAATAAAGAATAAAGGATCTTGAAGAATAACATTAAGCTGAAATTAATAAAATTAAATAAAATTATGAAGAATAAATGCAATAAATGAAATTAGAAATAGAACTTTAATAATAAAAGATTTTAGAAGCAGAGAAAATAGGATATGCTGAATCAGAAATAAGTAGGGTAATAGATAAAGATGAAATTGAAAAATTAAGAAAAGATCCTCTCTTTTCTGTTATGAGTTCCAATTTATAATAGTCTGTAGATTCAAATGTCTCTGAATTAATGAAAGATGAAAGCATTTATTTAAAATATAGGGATGTTTTAAAGAAATACTAACCTTAAGAAAATCATTTGGATAATTGTATGGAAATTATCAATTCAAAATTTCATGATCTTATAACTCTTAAAGAAGCCTAAGAATTCAATCAATTAAATACGGATTCAAATATCTCTCTCAGTAAAGTAATGGGTATTGGAGATGCTATTAATCTTATTGAATAAAATTAAAATATTAATTCAGATATCGATTCTATTATTTCACCTTCTGAATAAATTAGATTTAAAAAAGATCCTAAATTTTAGGAACCTTCACTTCCAGATTCAAGTATTGAATTTTCAATACCAGAAAATTACAAACTTTAAAAAATGATTGACAGTGATTACAGTAATTTAAATATGAATATCAATGAAGATGGTTCTTTGTTTCTGGAATTATAAAAGGAACTTGAATAAAATTATCCTATTAATGAATCCAATAAATTTATTGTTTATTAATAAATTATTTAAGATTAAAAGTAAGTGTTTGATAAGCAAGTTAAAAAACTTTCAAAATTAAAGCCAACTTATAAATCTAAATAATATTTTGGAGAATCAATAGATTCATCTATTGGTTCTTTAGCTAATCAATAAATTCCAAATGATGTCAGTAGTAATGTTAGTATGATTAGTAAATCCTAATCCAAAGGATCAATAATTGGTTCTGTGATAAGTGAAAATGAAAAAGCTTAGCTATAATAATAATGTCTTTCAGATTTATCATCTGTGTAATTATCTAAAAATGCTATTTAATAATTAGATTAAGTAAGTAGTGGAATAAGCTAATTAAATTCTATTGTTGATAGTTATAGAATACAAGAATAAACTCCATCTGTCAGCAGTGGAATTAGTAAAATCTTAAATGATCAATAGCTTCAAAAAGAGAAGTATTCTGTTGATAGTTCTTTAAACATTAGTCAAGGAGGATCTTCAGTTAAAAGTTTTCTTTTGTTGAAAAAGTCAGTTATCTCTAAAAAATATTGAGAATTAATTTATATTAAATTTTATATTAATATAAGTCAACAAAATTTTAAAATATGTGTTCGTTATTTTCTTATAATCACAAAAATTTTCGATTTTTCGAAAGTAAAATTTAATGAATGATATTATTAATCAATCTATAAACATAATAATTTTTAATAACTTATTGTATTTAGAAGCATTGAGGTTATTATCATCTGGATTTTTCTTAGATATTTTAACAACCCAAACTAAAATTATTATCATAAAAAGAAGATTTACAGTTGAAGACTTATAAATAATATTTCAATAAATGTGATGAACATAAAAAAAAAGTTAAAATATTTTGTTTTATTTACAATATGATTTGATTTTTTAAGTTCAAGATTTAGCTTTTATTGTAAATAAAAATTTTTTGGATTATATTAAAGATTATTAAATAAAAAGAAAGAAACTAATTTTTATAGTTCTGAGAAAGAATCTAAAAAATGGATTTAATTTTTTAATTATTTGTAATAATGAATATATATAGTAAGATTAAGATTAGGAAATATAATACTTTTAGAATAAATAATATTTTTGATTTATATATTCATATATTAGTTTTTCCTTTAACTAATTTGCGATCAGAAAATTCTTCTTAAATAGGGAAATAATGTTAATGATTATTAATTTATTCTTATTTTTTAACTTTGGCTCTTTATGGAAATGGACTTTCTCCAATTTCTAAGACAGGTTGACATAAAATAGATTGAATTGATTAAGGATTAATATTTTTTAATCCTGCAACAATAAATTCAGAAGGTTGAGTTGGATATTAAGTGTCTTAGGCTTAAACACTTTGTTAAATTTATTATTTTGGTTAAGCAGAAACAATGAGCCTTTCTTTTTTGTTATCAACTGATTTTTATCTTTAATTAGATAATTTATCTTCATTTTTAATATCTTCTTTTTTGTGTTATTGTATAATTTATTATCGAATAACTTCTTAAGCAATAGGTTGATTATTGTTTTTGATAGATTATCTTTATTCATTTAATTTTTGTTATTCTTTTTTAAGTTCAATTTTGAGTTATTCTTAAAGCATTTTTTCTCTATCTCTTTGACTTGGAGCACTACTTTGAATTCTGGTATTTGGAGTTGATGGAAGTTCTCCTTTTTTTCTAGAAGCAGAAGGATAATTTTATTAATTATTAATAGGAGATGGATTTCTATCTTTGATTTATCCAGGTACTAAATATAAGAATTAAGAAGATACATGCACTATGAGCTCTTTAATTGATTCTAGGTTATTCAACAGTTTTTTTAGTAGGTTCTTCTTTATAATTGGATTTTGGAAGTTATATTTATTGTAATTTGATAGTTTATAGTAATTCTGCTTTAGAAGTTTATTTTTCAATAGTAGGAATTACTTTTAAATTATTGATAAGTAGGGGAGATTANTATTAAAGATTATTAAATAAAAAGAAAGAAACTAATTTTTATAGTTCTGAGAAAGAATCTAAAAAATGGATTTAATTTTTTAATTATTTGTAATAATGAATATATATAGTAAGATTAAGATTAGGAAATATAATACTTTTAGAATAAATAATATTTTTGATTTATATATTCATATATTAGTTTTTCCTTTAACTAATTTGCGATCAGAAAATTCTTCTTAAATAGGGAAATAATGTTAATGATTATTAATTTATTCTTATTTTTTAACTTTGGCTCTTTATGGAAATGGACTTTCTCCAATTTCTAAGACAGGTTGACATAAAATAGATTGAATTGATTAAGGATTAATATTTTTTAATCCTGCAACAATAAATTCAGAAGGTTGAGTTGGATATTAAGTGTCTTAGGCTTAAACACTTTGTTAAATTTATTATTTTGGTTAAGCAGAAACAATGAGCCTTTCTTTTTTGTTATCAACTGATTTTTATCTTTAATTAGATAATTTATCTTCATTTTTAATATCTTCTTTTTTGTGTTATTGTATAATTTATTATCGAATAACTTCTTAAGCAATAGGTTGATTATTGTTTTTGATAGATTATCTTTATTCATTTAATTTTTGTTATTCTTTTTTAAGTTCAATTTTGAGTTATTCTTAAAGCATTTTTTCTCTATCTCTTTGACTTGGAGCACTACTTTGAATTCTGGTATTTGGAGTTGATGGAAGTTCTCCTTTTTTTCTAGAAGCAGAAGGATAATTTTATTAATTATTAATAGGAGATGGATTTCTATCTTTGATTTATCCAGGTACTAAATATAAGAATTAAGAAGATACATGCACTATGAGCTCTTTAATTGATTCTAGGTTATTCAACAGTTTTTTTAGTAGGTTCTTCTTTATAATTGGATTTTGGAAGTTATATTTATTGTAATTTGATAGTTTATAGTAATTCTGCTTTAGAAGTTTATTTTTCAATAGTAGGAATTACTTTTAAATTATTGATAAGTAGGGGAGATTACAGGATTTGATTACATGATAGTCTTTTCATAGGTTGAACTTAAATCATTTATACAATAATTGATTATAAGTCTCTGGAATATTGTTTAGGTAAACATTCAAATAGTCCTCTTTAAATTTTATTGCATAATGCTTTTAAATCAGGAGCTTTGAATGGTAATTTAAGAGAAGCCATTTCATATATAACACAACCTAAACTCCAAATATCACTCATAGAATTATATGCTTCATTTCTCCAGACTTCTGGACTTGCATAATAGGGGGTTCCAGTTTATGTATAGGCAAAACCTTTTTTAGTAACTTTGGAGACATTCAAATCTCCTAACTTATAATTGCCATTAGAAATGAATATGTTTGCAGTTTTTAAATCTCTATGAACAATTTTATTGTCATGTAATTTCTTCAGACTAAATAAAATCATATCAGATACCCTTTGGTAATTTAAAATAAAGCTTTCCAAATTTCTGTTTCATGGAATAATTGATTGCCTGTCTATTTAATTTTATTCTGCAAATCCCCTTATGTGGCAAACTCCATAATAATATAGAGCATATTATCATCAATGAATGCATCTTTATAATTAATTATATTTGGATCATCAAATGAAGCCAATATTCTAACTTCGTTAAGAGCATTTTCTTTTTCTTTTTCTTTCAAATCATATAGTTTAACTTTCTTCATTGCATAAACTTGTTGATCAGATTTTCTAATGACTTTAAAAACTTAACTATAGGATCCCTCACCTAGTCGGTTGAGTATTTCAAAATCACTAATTCTAGACATATTAATATTATATATATTTTATTATTTATCATTCTGAACTATGTTCTATTTATTTGAAATTCCATCCTTGTTCGCCATCAAATTGAATCATGTAATCATGATGTTTGAATAAAGAAGGTCTATGACTAACAGTGAATAGTGTAATTCCCAACATTTTAGCAGTCTAATATAAGGTGGCTTCAACATCCATTGAAACAGCACTAGTACATTCATCTTAGAATAAATAATTAATAATAAATACCTAAAATGGCAAATACTGGTTTATGATAGAATAATCTACCCATAGCAATTCTCTACTTTTCTCCACCACTTAAGACATCATTCCAATCATTACATTTATCAAATCCACCTTCTCTTACTACTAAATAATCTAAATGAACTAATCTTAACAATTCAGTTAAATCATCATCTGAAACCTTCTTTCTTAACATTTATAATTTGGTATGAGGATATATGATTTAATCTCTTAATGTTCCAGCTGGTAAATAAGGTCTCTATGGAATATAAAATAATTTATCAATATGAGGTCTATATAATCTACCACCAGATATTGGCCATAAACCTCCCAAGGTTCTAAACAATGATGATTTTCCACATCCATTTGGACCAGTAACTATACAATTCATATTTGGTTTAATCTACATATTATTTTTATAATATTACTTCAAAAGTCATCTTTTATGCTAATATATCATTATTAGGTGATATTATAGGAACTTCTTCAAATTTGATAGTATTTTCTGTTTCAATTATCTATCCTCTATTCATAGAAACTAATGATTATTTCTATGCAAAATATCCTGGTTAATTTTCATTAGTTTATAACATTGTTCTCATATACTTACCATTAATTAAATCTTTTAAAACTTCATCTAATTCAGCAACTAAAGTTGTATATCCTGCTAATTATTATATTTCTTTATATGAAACAACTAATCTTCCAATAGCTTTAGCTAAATTGATCAATAAAGATGAATTTCTAACATAATCTCTTGTAATTGCTGAAGCATCATTATTTACACTTTTTAAATATTCCTCTCTTCTACTACCAAATACGGGTAAACCAACAACTGCATAACCTACCATTACTGCACCATATTTCACTAACATACTATCAAATACTCCCATATATAATCTTTTTAATATAATCTAATTTGTATGTCCAATCAAATTATTAAATGAATTTGTAATTCTTGTTTTTTCCCAAGCATGTCCTCTATAAAATGCTATCTCTTCACTATGATAAACCAAATCACTATGACAAGCTCTATAATCTCCTTCTAATCTTTATTCTATTGCTGTCAATTTACCAAAAGGAGGACTTAAAAATCTTAATAAAAATCCAGAAACCAAATAATATATTATTACATACATTGGGCCTTTATACCCTACCAATTCAGCTAATTTTCTAGAGAACATTACAATATCTAAAACTGGTTTAGAAAAATTAGAATATATTTAAGATAATGAATTTGCCCATTTTTCAATATCTGCTGTTAATCTTTAATCAGGATTAGCAATACGACTGTCTAAATTACTCAATTAATAAAAGATCATATCATTCAAATAAATATCATGGAAATGCTATGTTAATCTTTTTCTAAATCTAATTGCTAATGATTTATTCAAATAATCCAAAAATGAATTTACAAATGATGCAGGTATAGCAACAAACCCTAATTTGAAAATTCTCTATAAAAACATATTCAAGTCTTATTCTATAATAGCTCTTACTATTTGTCCATTTACATTAGCTATAAAAATACTTAAAAATGTTCTTGCTACTAAGGATGCTCTATAACTTAGATATTATCTTACGTTAACAATGATAAATCTAAAATTTCTGGTGAACTCACACTTGGTATTACTATTTTCAATAATTTCAAAATCCTTTTAAAGAACATGAGATCAACGTTACCTTTTCCTTTTTTTTCTTCTCTCTTTATTTTAATATTCTCAGTCTATGATTTTGTCAATCTAATCTTAAGTAAGTAGAGAATCACTGCTATTACAGCTCCTGAAATCATCTAATTACATTATTCATTTATTCTTACTTTTCTCTTTGTTGATTTCAACATAAACTATTTCACATCTAAGAGTTTTGAAAACACAGGAGGCATGTTATGTATATTAATATTAGCAATAAATATTTAATATGTGCTAATTATTTTATATTTTATTAATAAATTCTTATTACTATTGTTTTCTCTAATATTCCTAAGAAAATCAAGACGCATCTTATTTCATCTCATCATAACAAATTTTATAATATTTAATATTTATAATATGTTTTTATAAATTCTTGTAATTTCATATAGCCTTACACTATCCAACTATTTTTAACTAATTTATAATAAACTTCAATCAAATACAAGACGCTAAATTAATTTAATTCATAAATTCGAGTTTATCATTACAAAGATTCCAATATAAATTTATAATAGTTAAAATGAGGCACTCTGTACAAATTCAGGTACTTAGAGATGGATTAATAGAATTTAATCCTAGGATATAAATAAATTCACCTAAGACTTTATCACTATTTTATTTAATAAAAAAAATAGGATATAAAAAAAGAGTTTAACATTTGAGTTTTGTAATTATAAATGATGTTATTCATTAAATACGAAGAGATAAACATTAGGAATTATTTACTTTTCTAACTGAATATATTGATTTATGATTAATTAATTTAATAAATTATTATTAGACTAATTCTAGAATTTTATAGAAAAATCTATTTCCAGAAAAAAATGCTATTTTTGAGTTGAACACTTTTCATTTTGTTAAAATCATTAAATATAAGATGGAAGCAGAATTCATTAATTTAATTGAAGATGGAGGAGTTAAGAAAAGAATACTTTAAGAAGGTTAAGGTGATTTACCTATTGATGGATCAAGATGTAAGATTCTATATAAAGGAACTTTGGATGATGGAACTATGTTTGATTCTTCATTGAATTCAGATAAACCTTATAAATATAGGATTGGAAAGGAATAATTAGTAAAAGGTTTCGATATTGCATTAAAATCTATGAAAGTTGGAGAAAAAGCAGAATTTAAAATGACTTCAAATTATGGTTATGGTGATGATGGAGATTCTTATAAAAATGTTCCTAAAAATGCTAATTTGACATATGAACTAGAATTAGTCAATTTTAAATAACCTAAAAAAAGAAAATGGTAATTTAATATACATAATTATTTTAGGGAAATGACCCCAGAAGAAAAGCATCAAGAAGCTATTAATAAAAGAACTAAAGGCACAGCCACCTTTAAATAATTAAATTATAAAGAAGCTTAAAAAATTTACAAGAAAGCACTTTCTTATTGTACTTTGACAAATGAAGAAGGTAATGAATTAAAAGCAAGTGTACAACTTAATTTATCAATTTGTTGTTATTAATTAGAAGAATATAAAGAATCAATAGATTATGCGAAAAAAGCTCTTGAATTAAATACTAATTAATAATAAAAATTAAAAGCTCTATATAGAAAAGCTCTTGCTAATATTAAAATTGCTGAACTTGAAGAAGCATTAGCTGATTTGAGAGAAGCTTTCAAAATAGATTCAACTAATTCAGCTGTTATTGAGGAATTATCAAGAGTCAAATAATTATTAAAAGAAGCAAGAATGAAAGAAAAAGAAATTTATTCTAAATTATTCTAATAGAAACTTTATGATGAATCAGAAATAGAGCCAAAGAAAATTGAAATAAAAGAAACTAAATCAGAAGGTTCAAGTTGTTGTGATCCTAATGAAAAAATAGAAGAAGAGACTTAATCTAAACCAACTAATGAGAATAATAATGGTTAAATATAAGAAGAAAAATCTGATGTTAGAGAATAAATAAAAACTGAAAATAATGAAAATAAAATAGTTGAAGAATCTGTTACCAGTGCTTGATAATGATGATGTTTCATTTTATTATATTTTATTTTCAATATTTCTATTAACTTTTATTAGTTATTTTTTAAGTTAATTTTATTTGAAGAATATCTTCTAAGTCGTTTTATTAACAATATAATTCATTCACATAATTTTATTTAGATTATGACAGTTAACTTTAAATCAAAAATGATAATTTACCTTTATGGTTACAATTTCATTTTGTTTTAGAAAAAGCTATTTAATCAACTTATTATATTTTTAATATTTCAATATTAAAATATGAATTGGTCAAATGTTTCATTTCATCTTTTAAAATATGAACATGCCAGAATAAATGGGAATTAAATTCAACAATAATAATTAAAAACTTCACCAAATAATTTATCTTTCTCAATCCCTTCATAACAAGAATAATTATAAGAAAAAATGAGATGCAAATCTGTTCTTTGTGATGAATTTGGAAATTGGTCAAACAAATACAAAACTTCTCATGATCTTCTTATTGAATTTCCTTAGCATAAAAAATAGAGACTTACTCAGATAATCGTTCAAAATTTAAGTATTAGTTATCTAATTTAGAAAAAAATCCCATAAACTATTAATAAAATTCGTTTAGAAATATTGTTGTAAAATCTCAAGGACCCTAAAATATTCACATTAGCACATTTAACAAAAGATTAAAAGATATTAAGCATTAAGAATATGAATTAAATTTGGATAGTAAAGATGGAAGTGATTTACATGCAAAGAATCTATAAAAAATAAAATTAATTAAATTTCATAAGTAAGAAGTTGATCCTAGCATTGAAACTATGTATACTGGTTTCTTAAGTTGTTCAGGAGAAAGTCCTAGAATCAAAGCCTTAAAAAGTAAAATCACATATAATCATAGAAACATCGAATAAATTTATTTTAAAATAAACCCTTTAAAAAACTAATTTAATTGATAAGATAATACTTGATAGTAAAATCACTTCAAAAACAACTTTTTCTCCTCGATAAATATTGAATCATTAACATAAAAAGACAATATCTAATGTTCACTCTGCTTATTCAGAATAAAACAAATTTCTTCGTAGAATTATCGCCAATTCTCACCATATAAATATTTTAAATAAGTGATAATGAGCTATTTTAAGTTATTTTATTTATATGTCTAAATTTATATATTAACTCATAGACTAAAAAATAAATAAATTTAAAACAAATTTTGATGTTTTTTTGCTCAACAAATATTAAAAAAATTTAATTTGATAGAAAAATTTTCTAACTTATATTTGTTGGATTATTTAAAAAGAGTTAACAACAGTTTAAAAAAATGAATACAAGAAACTTCTAATCGTTTTTAATTCATCAAAATAAAAAAGTTTTTTAATTTAGATAGGATTAATACTAACTGGTACTGTTTTAATAATTATATACTTTAAATTATGAAAATGAACAATTTTAGATCAATACAAAAGTAAAACAGCAAAAAAAACTAAAGATTAAATCTTAAAAATTTTTTCAATTTATTACTTCCAGTCATTTCCTATAAGTTTTTTAAGATTAATCATGTATTAAATTTTTTTGATTTGCAAAAATATTTACTAAATTCAATAAAAATAATATAAAAATAACTTGAAAAATTATAATCATGCAATCAAATTCAAACTAACTTAACGAAAAGAATATTTCCACAGACAATATTAGCTAACAAAACATAATTATATCATAAGGTAATAATAATATAGCAAGTTAAAACAAATCAAATATTTCTTATAATTCTAAAATAGCATAATTCTCACCACTTAGTATTGCAAAATTGTTTGATAATTAAGAAGAATTATTAGATGATTCCGATAGAAATAAATGAATAAACCAAATTGATTATCCTTCTTGGTAGAGAATGAGATAGATTAAATAAAATAAAAAAATATATAAATATAATTTTAGAGTTCTTTTTCATTTTTTATTAAATTAATTTTTATATGGTTATGCCATAACTTTCTTTTATTATTTAATATTTCCATTAGGAAATAATCCTCGTTTTGGAGGTGATATTATTTTAACATCTTGAGCTATTTATGTAAATTATTTTGAGGTTTTATTCTTCATAATTTATTGTAAAGACAAATCCTTGAATCCTTTCATTAAAAGATCTGGTTAAGGCTTTTTTTCTTAAATATTAGTGTTTACACTAAAAAGTTAATCTGGATATCTAATATTAATTAATTATTATTTTAACTTATTGTTTTGTTTCGAGAATAGGCATTTTAATATAGATTCGTTTTTCGTACACTCTTTAAAAGCATTTACATAATTACTTTAAGCTCTTTAATTTTAAATGCTTCTATCATTTAAGTTTTTCTTTTCAGAAGCACAATTTTTACATTTTGGTGAAAGGTATGAGATCTCATAAGTGAAAAAACCCAATTTTTTTCGTTTATTAGGTTTAGTTTAAACAGAAGCATCTTAAATAGAAGTATTTGACATTTATGTCTTAATTCTGTCTAGTTATGAATCATTTTAAAATTCAACCGAATAATCTGTTTTTGTAGGTTTTTTATTTTTAGATGGTAAATCGTCACTAAAATTATTAAATTGTTTACTGAATAGCATAGGTTTTAGAATGATTTAATTTAGTAGATTTTAAAATATTAGTGTCAACAAGGTTTAACAAATTAGATAATGCAGTTTTGGAAATATTGTCTTGAGATTTGAAATGTCTAACAGTTTTTGTAGGATTGCAATCATATTCAATCTCATTGGGTTCAGTTTTGAAATTAGGTTAGTTTTCTAAGGCATTTGAATGTTTATGCATGCTCTCAAATTGTGAATCAATCATTCTCAACAATCCTTCAACTTTTTATTCATGTTTTTAATCTGGGGATAACCTTAAAACATTTATTAAGTAGGACATACAACTAATATTATCCATTTCTGTTTAAGCAGTGCATTTTTTTATTTGGCGAATAGACAGTATATTATTACATTTAACAACTGAAAAAATATAAAATTTATTTAATAAGATAAAAAATAAAATGAAAAAAATGAAATTGCTAAAATATTAATAAATTAAACATCTCTTTAATATATGATAACTAATTCATATATATTAGATATATATTTAATTAAGATAACATCTTATTCTGTGACATCTTTGATTTTTCTATCTCATTATGTAATATATGAAATTTACTTATATATATATCTAAGCATTACTCAATTATTATCAAACTTTTATTTGCTTTATTAATAAAATAAAAAATCAATTCATCATTGCTATTTAACTTTTTTATTTACATTATCAAATTCTTCGATATCTTATTTTTTTGTTTTTTTCTATAAATTTTATTCTTATTCTTCTCTTCTTTTATGCTTTAATAACATTTTTCTTCTTTTAATTTTCCTTAATTTTTCAACTGCTTTGTTAGTTTTTGTTACTAAAAATTTATAATTATTTATTTACCAACTCTATTGTAAACAACATTCCCCTACATAAATCCTTCTTCAATTTTATATAGTTTTAATTCTAATCTAGGTCCAACTTCATGTAATCTAATACTCATTTATTATTTTTTATGTTATTTATTTTCGATTTCCAATTCTTCTAAATCAGATTATTCTGTATCCGAAGCAAACATTTAGTGATTATTTTATAAAAAATCAGAAAAGTTATTATAATTTGAGAGATTAGGTAATTTATTTGCTTTAATGATTTTTTTAATTTTTTTATTTATTCCTTTTAAATTAAAACTTATGTAATAATGTCTTATGTAGATCTTATCATTTTTATATGAAAACAATATAACTCTCTTTTATGTCTTTGGATTTGTATTTTATACATTAATAGCAGGAAACATAGATTAGATCATATTTCCTACTAATTTTATGTGATCACTTGTTGGTTTTTTAGGATCATCTGATTAAAATTCAGTCTAAAATCCATTCATCACAAGTAAAGGAGGTGAAAACACTCTTGAAAAGGATTTAAACTTTCTTTAAGCATTCAACACTTCATTTCTATTTGCATATTTAAGAACACGGAATGTGAAAGTTGGTCCTCTAGGATTTTAAATAAATCTTATATATGAATCTAATATTATTATAACATATAATACTCTTATTAGTTTATGTCATAATAATCATATGTGATACTAAATAATAACCAGCTGCCTTTATATAATCTTTCATTTTAGTTTTATCTGATTCTTATAAATTCATGCTTGTAAATGGATACATAACATCTCTATAATCATCAACTAACTAACGAATTGTTGATGAAACTTTTCCTCTCTTTAATATAAATGCTTTAAAATAGAAATTATATTAAACCTTTTGGTGTTTATCCTATTAAATCAAGATCTTCTTCTGTAGCTTCTTTATGAGTTCTTGTTTTTTTCTATTTTTATTATTAATTTACTTTTTACCCTTCTTCCTCCAACTTTAGGCATTAATTAAAAATAATTAAAAAATTTTATATTAAAAACAAACAAAAATAAACACATGCCTTTCATTATTCTTGATATAACCTCAACTTTTTTAAGTAATTATTGTAACGATCTTTCGAAATATATAAGTCATAATTTAAAAGTTCTAACAATTCTGATTCCAATTAGTTCAGCTCTTTTAAAGTGATACCAGCTATTTTTGAATAATAATCATTTCTATAGTAATCATCATCTTAAAATTTTATAGCTAAAACTATTGCAATCATTAAAAACCTATATTCATATCATTTACATACCTATGAACACAATGGCTATTTAACAAAATTTCTTAATGTTATTCTTAAACTTTATCCAAGTAAATTAATGCAATAATGAAACATTCATCTGTACATTTTGCATACTTTGCTATTCGAATTAAGTAATTTTCAAGTGTTATTGCAGGTATTTTAGAAGCATGAAATGGTGTTTATTAAGAATCTAATTTATCTGTTTCTTCAACTATCTCTTCCAATATTGTTGCGATGCATTTTAAGATAGTTGGTTATTTAGTTCTTTCATGATTCTATATATTAATTTATGTGCTTATTTCTGTCATATTATTTTTATATTAGTAATATGCTTATTTTAAAATATTTAATCTAAATCAAATTAAAAATAAATATTCATACACTCTTAATTAAATCTGATGCAGCAATTTTCTTTAATTATTAGAATCAGAATTCTAATGCTTTTCTATTAATCCTTTCAATTTATTTCATTTTGTTACTTACTATTAATAATTATAAAAATTTTCTATTTCTCAAAAACTTTAATAATTTACTCTCTTTTTATTAATAACTTTTATTAAAACTTTAAATAAATTTATTAATAAATTTTTGCTTTTTTTCACATTATTTATGATGATAAAAATTTTAATTAACTTAAATTTAAAATATATATAACTTTATTTTAATAAAATAGCTTCTTAAGCAATATTAAAGTAATAAAGCTCAAATTTATTTTTTGACACTACTTTCTGAAAATTTATTAAATATCTCCTTTAAATAAATAAATAAATAATTCTTTTATTGTTTCTTAAATTTATCATGGATCCTATAAGACTTTTAATAAATTTATTGAAAATAATTTTTTAATGAAAATAATATATTTGTCTAGGATATTAAAATTAACAATATTTTTTTCTTTTTGGGTTTTTATCTGCAAATTTAACATAAACAGACAAATAGGAATCTTATCTTAAAAATTTTAGTTTCCTAAATTTGAATAAGGAGGATGAATAATTACCTACAATGAATTTGATTATGTTATCATGATTCAAATTTAATGAATTCTTAATATACTTAATGTTAAACTTCATTCCAAAATCCACTTATATAAATTTCTGGTATATCTCAAATTGAATTTATCAACTTATTTCACAATTTAAAAATATCATATAATTTATGTGTATTTAATTTTACTTTTGCAAGTACAAAGCTTATGTGAAATAGAGGTAAATTCATATGAGAAAATTAGAAGTTTAGAAACTAGAAGTAATGGATGAAAAAAATAATGATCAATTTAAAAATATATATGTTATTATTTTTAATAATAATAATCATTTTTATTAACCCTTCATATTTTGATATTTTGTAAAATCTGATTTTGAAAGTTCTTTGTATTATTTACTTTAATTTTTGTCATCATTTTCAAAGTTTTAATCATTATATTAAATTTTTTCTGTATTAAATTATCTATCATTTTAAATCGAATTGATCTATTTATTATTATTAGAATATTTATCATTATTGATATAAGAAGGTCTTTCATTAAAATTTTTGTCATTTCCTCCTGTGAAATTTCTGGCAGGATAAGAAGAATTATTATTAAAGTTCCTTTCATTATTGGTTCTATCAAAATTATTATTATTATTAAAATTTCTTTCATTTTTATCATAGTTATTTGCATTAAAATTTCTTTCATTATATCTTTCATTATTATTTCTATCATTGTATCTTTCATTATTATTTCTTTCATTTTATCTTTCATTATTATTTCTTTCATTATTAAAACGCTCATTATTATTTCTTTCATTATTTTTATCAATATAATTTCTTTCATTGTTAGATCTATCAAAATTATTTCTTTCACTATTATTATTTTTATCTATAAAATTTCTCTCATTATTGGCTCTATCAAATGTATTTCTTTCATTATTATTATTTTTATCTATGAATTTTCTTTCATTTTGAGTTCTATCAAAATTATTTCTTTCATTATTATTATTTTTATCTATAAAATTAGATCTATCAAAATTATTTCTTTCATTATTATTATTAACATTTTTATCTACAAAATTTCTCTCATTATTAGATCTATCAAAATTATTTCTTTCATTATTATTATTATTATTATTTTTATCTACAAAATTTCTTTCATTATTAGATCTATCAAAATTATTTCTTTCATTATGATTTCTATCAAAATTATTATTTGGTCTATCATGATTATTATTAAAATTTTTATCATAATTTCTTTAATTGTTATTATGATTTTTATCATTATTATAAGGTCTATCAGGTTTGATGTGATTAAGATATTTATCATTATAAAATTAGGATTCATTATTTTTTTTATTTTAATGATCAGTATCATTTCTAAAGTCCATATTAAATATTTTTTAATTAGAATTTTATTCATTATTCCATTTGGTGTTAAATGAATTAGTTTTATTATCTTCTTAAAATTGGGGCAATAATTTATAGTTTTTTAGATCTAATTCTTGAATAGCTTCTGTAGGTTTAATGATATCAGCATCTGAAAATTGATTTCTAAGATTAACTTATCGTGAATCATTTATATTTTTTTTAGATTAGAACTATTATTATTATGTTTATATTAATGATTATCTATCCTATAGTTATCTATCCTATAATTATTTATTTTTGAAATCCATATTATAATTTCTTGATTATTATTATTAATATGATTATAATTATTCATTCTTATGATCTTCATTGTATTCACTACGACTATGTTTATGATAAGGTTTTTTTTAATAATTTGGATTGAATTACTTAGCTTCCCATTTATTAAAACTATCTTCTTTAATTTCTGAAGTTTATCCAAAATTATTAGGAGGATAAATAGAATTTGGAATATTACTTTGATTAGAATTATCAATATATTATTAAAGTTTTCTTTGTTATCTTTCCTACTTAATTTTTGAAGCTTTATCTTTAAATTCTAGTAATTCTGCATTAACTTCTTAATTACAAGAGTTAAGATAAGTTATGATTTAATCAGCAAGAATTCCCTCATCTTTTTCATATGATAAAAGAGAGAAACTTCTACCATGAGCTCCTGCTCTACCAGTTCTACCAATTCTATGAATATAATCATCAAAAGATTTAGGGAAATCATAATTAACAACAACAGTAATATCCTTAACATCTAATCCTCTTGATGCAATATCAGTTGCACATATTAATCTAGTATTAGAATCCTTAAATTATTTCATAATAGCATCTCTTTAATCCTATGATTTATCACCATGAAGTGATATACAGAAATATCCTTATTTAGTAAGACTTTAACTAAGATCTTCACATCTCTTTTTAGTTTCAGCAAATATTAATACTTTATCTGTATAAATTAAATCATCTAAAACATTCATAAGAACGTGTAACTTTTCTTTTTATCCAGTACATATAATTTTTTATGTAATTGGTGCACCTTTACCAATTTTAACCAAGATTGGATTATTACAAAATTCCATTGATAATTATTAAACTTCATTAGGCCATGTTGCTGATAACAATATAGTTTATCTATCTTCTCTTATTGTAGATACAATATCTCTTACTTAAGGTTCAAATCCCATATCTAACATTCTATCAGCTTCATCTAATATAAGCATAGTAATCTTATTTAGATTTACCATTCCTTCTTCTATTAATTCTACCATTCTCCCTGGAGTAGCAACAATAACATGAACTCCCTTCTGAATCAATTCCACTTACTATTTCTTATTTGGGTTACCACCATAAATACAAACTAATTTAAGGTTTTATAAATTAGGAGCATTCTCCTTCTCATTCTATTTCTTATTTCCATAATAATATTCAATTAATTAAAGTAATTAATCATATATTTATACACCCAATTCTCTTGTTGGTACTAAAATAAGTAATTTTGGTTAAGGTGATTCTTTTTTCATCACATGTTATTCTAAATGTACCAATGCAGGTAACAAATAAGCTAAAGTCTTACCTGATCCAGTCTAAGCTATGGCTTAAGTATTTCTACCAGATAATATTATTGGTATCACTATATTTATATATCATATTCTTTTAATACCTTCTGATTATATTGCTGTTGGTTATTCGAACTCTGGTGCTCCCAATGGAAAATGCTTCCAATCTAAAAATGGTTATATTATATTATTATCCTATTCCCCATTTCTTATTATTGTAATATTATTTTCAGACCTAAATTTCTCTATGTCTTCTTATCTGTATTATAGATCACTTGCCTATTTTATTTATTAACATTATCCATTACATCTATAAAGCATTTTTTGAACTCTTCAAATTCTCCTGGACATGATGCAAACATACCTAAAGGTTGGCTCCATCTCTTTAGTCCTTTCATTATTTTAAATTTTGTACTTTAAGTTTTTCCTTTTAATAATTGGCAATAGATTGGTATTATTTATCTAATTATAAAATTTTAATTATCATCCCAGTATTTAGTTTTTATTTATATTATCTATTTTTTTTTATTATTCCCTACAAGTCCTTTTTAACATCAATTCATTTATTTTTATTCACTCCTATTTATATATATAGTTTAACAATTATTCACTAAAACATTTATTTACACTCTAAAATTATATAAATTTATTATAAACATTCTATTTCACTATTTACATACTAATTTATTCTTTTATACTAAAATCAATCTATTACTAAAGTAATAATATTTATATCTAAGATTCTTTAAAGTTGTAATTATCTTTCATTATTTTTGTAAATCTCTCTTATCTACGATATTCATTTTGGTCGTTTTCCTTATATCATCATCTAATAGTTTTTATTCGTGATTTATAAATTCCATTCGTATCATCTCTTTAAATAATATAAATATTCTCCCTATAAAATCATTTGATCATTTTTAAGTAAATTATTTTAGATTATGATTTTTTATAACATTAGAACTATTATTTCATGTTTCCATTGATTTTTTATTTCTGAAACATCAGAACATAATATCTTTTCATCATGATAAATAGGCATATAAATATACACCAAGATTTAAGTTAATAAATATATTATATAAAATAGTCATCCAATCATGAATAATATAATAACTATTTCGTAAATTTTGACAAATAAAATTAAGAGATCCAAATTGTTAAAGATTTTACACTAATAATCTTAAAAATTAGTTGTTTTCTTACAAAATCTTAGCAATAAAAGTAGAACTAAGTATAAAAGAAAAAAATTTCCTAGAAAATAAAATTAATAAATTAAATAGGAAAATATATACATTTAATTCTTATTATGGATTACCTCTAAGTTTTAAAAAATAAATTTATCATATTTTCTCGAAACTATTTAATCTAATGTAAACTTGAAATAATAAGTAATTATCTTCAAAAAACAAAATGATATTATATCATTTATAGGATCAATGATATCTATCCAAAATAGAAGGTATTTAAGTATATATTTCTAAAAAGAATGAGTATCAATTTTGTATTCATATTTTTGTAAATATAGAAGATAGAGTAGAAGTGTTATATGGTTGATTTATTAGATAAAGTGCTAGGAAAGGGATTAAATATTTGTAAAGTGTATTAGTTTGTAATGTAGAAATGAAGGTTAGTGAATATATTTAATTACATAATAGTAATTAATTTAAATGGAAGCAGATCCAAAATTATTATCTCTTTTAGAAAAAGTAAATAATCCAATAGAATCCCTTACAATAAATTTAACTATAAAAGTAATGAGACATTAGCATAATAAAAGGGTATTTATGGATTTAGTGATGATTGGAGAATAACAGATGAAACAAATCCAGGAATATTTGCAAATGTGATACGTTATTAAGGAGAGGATATGTTTGGTAAGATAAGAGCAAGAGAATAAACAGAGAAGGAGAAATATGAAGAGTATTAGAAAAATAGTAAGAAAAACAAAAAAGATTCTAAAAGTCCAGAAGAGGAAGAAGCTATGAAGAAAGCATTGGCATTAGAAGAAGAAGAAGAATAATAAAAGTAAAAGCATTTAGAAAGTTTATCTGAGTAAGAAAAGTTGTTTTTTATTTCAGAAGATAAATAGAAAACTGCCAGCATTTAATATGAGGAAACACATTAAATAACTATAAAAAATGTTAGGTAATTGGAAGAAGAGATTTTAGAATAACGAAACATAATTCAATTTATAAGACAACCAGCTGTAACAGAAGAAGAGTTAGTAAAATTAAAGAAGGGTAAGACAAAGAATTTGAATAATGCTGAATTAACTTAGATTATTTTTAAGGGTATTTTTGATTTAAGTGATTTATTGGAACCTGGTTGTATAAATACAACAGTGAGAATATTTTTAAAATAAGAAGAAGGTTTAGATTGTCCTAAATATAACTGTGATAAAATGTATATGAAAATTGAAGTGAATATTAATCCTGCACTTACACCTTTAGTTGAAGAAGTACCAGAATTGAAAATAGAACCTGTTATCATTCAAAAGATTCCAAGCAAATTTGAATGTGTGTGGCAATTCAAGAGTATACTCATTTCATAATAATCATTTAGAGGATATTAAAGAAGCTATGAAGGCTCTTGAAGAAGAATACAGCAAATTGTATTAAAGTGATTAAAAATAGAAGAATTAACCTATGGTTAGCATGACTCATTAAAGATGGCTAGAGTTAACTAAAAAAAAAGAATCTTTTCTTAATGAAATGAATACTTCTGGTAAATACAATATTCTTTAAGAGAGACTTAGATCCTCTATTATAAGAGTTTGTATTGATAAATTTGCTAAGGAAGGATTATTTGTAGGAGTTAATAAAGATGAATAAGATAGATTATTTGCAGAATTATATGTATTTATGATGGAAGAAATGTAAACTACACTTGGAGAATATATATAAAATAATAAAGAAGATGATATTCATGAAGATTTAGTCTTAACATATGAATAAACTATTAGAGAAAGAGATAGAGTATTTAAAAGACTTAAGGAATCTCAATTAGAAAAGTTTTAAAGATTAGCTAAAGAATATGAAACTATTAATTAAATTGATTAAGCACTTAAATACTATACAAATATGGTTTTAGTTGATAAGACATCTGCCTCTGTTTTTGCTAAATATTGTCTTAAAATACGTAGATTCAAAGCAGCTGAACAATTAATTTAAATGGTAAGAGATGTTGAATGGAATAAAGAAAATGAATTACTTATGGCTTCTCTTTATATTCGTAGGGAAAGATATAAAGAAGCTACCTATATTTTATAATAATTATTACAAAAAGAACCTATTAACACATTATTTAATTTGCTCATGTCATTTATTTATAAACAGTAAGGCAATGATAACATGGCTGATAAATATTTAAGATGCACATAACGTATTTTCATGAGAACTATGGGATTATTAACTAAAGGGTATTTTTATTATTATTTATATAAGATTTCCTAAATAATAGCCTGATCCCCATTTACTACCTAATTTTAAATAATAAATGATTGAATAATAAGAAAAAGCTAAAAAAGCACCAGTATTAACTTAAGAATAAATTGATTCCATTCAACTAGAATTAATTGAATATTTTGCATCTAGAAATTTGTTTGATCTAGCTGAGAAAGCATTAGTATCAATTAAAGACAAAACGACATAAAAAATAAATATTATTAAAGCTTAAATTCATATATTTAATGAGAATTATTCTGAAGCTCTTACTCTGATATCAAAATTATTAAATTAGAATCCCAGATTTTATGATGTATATTTAATAAAGGGTTCTTTATGTTTTTAAACAGAATAGTTTTATGAAGCTGAAGAAACGTTTTTAAAAGCACTTTCAATATAATCTAAAAGATCATTTGAAATCTAATTAAGATTAGGCTACTTATATTTGAAGCGTAAATCATGGTAAGATGCTAAAGGGATTTTTGAGAAAGCTTTGGATTAATAGCCTAATAGTTCTTTATCATGGTTAGGGTTAGGAATTGCAAATTTAAGATTAAGAGATCCAATAGCAGAAGAATGTCTTTGTTAAGCAAATATATATGAACCATTTAATGGAGAAGTATGGGGATATTTGGCATTGAATTGTTTACTTTAAAAAAGAGGTTAATAAGCTAAGTAATGTTTGTAAAGAATGGAATAAACTGAAGTTAATGATTTAGATTTATTACTTGAATTGGCTGAAGAAATGTCATTATGTTAAGATTTTTAAAGTTGCAGATCAATATTAATGAGAGTTTATGATTCAAAGATTAAAATTTCAAATATGGGCAAATTGTTAATGAATTTAGGATAAGTACATTCATAACTTTAAAGAAACGAAGAAGCTAAACAATATTATATTTAATCATTAAAATATTTGGAAAGTGTTAATGAAAAAGCAAAAGTAAATTCTGAAATCAAGATATTATGATAATAATAAAATAATCAATAATCCTCGTCTTCTTCCCAAATCTCTTACAAAATTTAAACCAAATACTTAAGTTTTATTTTCTTAGTAAATGGTTAATATGGACCTTTAATCTAACGTACAATATCTTCAATCTGTCTTCTTTCTTGGTTCTATCTACTTTCATTTTTTGTGTTCATTAATTTTATTGTTGATTTGTTAATTTATATAATAACTAACATTCATTATAATTTTAATTTCAAATTTATGTCAACATCCTCTGATTTCTAGCCTCCATCTCCAAGTCTCTCACCTAGTTCATAAATAAAATGTTATCAAGAATAATTAGAAAAAGCTCATTCAATGATAGACTATTTAGAAGTAATGTTGGCAGAGAAATAAGCATTAAAAGAGAATTTCAATTCATTTAATTTACCAAAGAATAAATCACATATGAAAAAACAAAGTTTATGTTTGGATCATATTCCTTAATCTATTTAAATTTAATAATATGTGACTCCTAGAGAATCAAATTAATAAATGAGATTTACATCTAGTAATATGCCTAATTACATTTCTGAATTATAATAAAAACATTAAGAAATTCTCTCTTCTAATAAAGAGAAATCAACTGTTAAGAAGCTTTAAATTTAGGAAATATAAGAAAAAGTATAAGATCTTTAAGATGAAATAATTATTTGTAAAGAAAGATAAAAAAATACTGAAATTGCAAAAAATCAAGCAGAAGAAGTTATTGAATAAATTGATGATGAAATTCTACTTGCAAAATAAAAATTATAATAAGTAAAATCTTAAGGAGAATAAATATATGAAAGTATGATGAAATTAGAAGATTAAAATCATGATAAAAAATATTATATGGGTCGTACTTCTACATTAAAACGAAAAAGAAGTGAGATTCAACCAGCACATCAAATAAAAAATTAATTAAATTAATTAAAAAATGAAATTGAATAACTCAAATAATCAAAAAAAGAGAAGGAAGAATATTATACACAAAAAATAAAGGAAATTGAACAATAATTAGATCAAAGAAAAACAAATGAATCTGTACCAGAGGATTAACTTAACGCTTCTTTAAGCCCTGATAGATAAAAAGTTAGAGTTTACAGAGGAAAATAAGCTTTGCTATAGGTAATCTCTTTAAAAATATTAAAGCTTACACTTAATTCTGATTCTTGTTCTAGATCTTATGCTTTAAGAAGGTCATAAGAAAATAAAATGAATTCAGCATTTGATTTCAAACAATTTGATGAACATGAAAATGTTTCAATAGATTCTTTCAAAAATAAAGATAAAAAGAATAGAACATGTGACCCATGTACTATCTTTTGATTAAATATATATATAATTAATTAAGCATTGTTTCAAAAGTATTGATATAGTTTTGAAAAGTTTATTAATACCAAAATCTATTACAAACTATTTTATATAAATTAATTGGTTTTATACCATATAGATAAATCGTTCAAATAATTTTAAATATAATATTATATTGATAGTAATTTAAGATTAGGAATTATTTTATATTTCATTACTTTTTAATACAGTATATTATTAATTTCATACTGTTCAGCAAAGTAAAATTGATTCAATTTTCGGTTTAATATATATTTTATGGATCTGAATGATGATATAAAATCTATATAAAAATATATTGCAATAAACTGAATCTCTTAGCTTTCTTAACACTTTAAAAGGTTAAAGAGAAACAGTTTTGATTAATTCATTTTTATAATTAATTTATGTAAAGAGAAAAACGAGTGCCTTCTAGAGTTTGGAGATATGAAGAATATTCACCACCTAAACGATCTTCATAATCAACCAATAGAAGTTAAAGAAAGAGAGAATTATGCTATTATAAAATACATAAAATCTCATAAAATTCTTCATTTACTAAAGAAGAAGATGAAAGCATTCTATAATATGTAAAAGACTTAGGACCTAAATTTGTTAAAATTGCTACTTTCTTTCCTAACAAATCATATAGCATGGTGAAAAACAGATACTATAAACATTTAAGAAATAAGCTGTTTGAAAGAAAAGAAAGTTAAGAATTGAACCATAATAATTAAGATATCACTTAATAATTTAAAAATTCTATTCTCTAACCTAATAATGAGAAAATAGAAGAATTGAAATAACTTATCTCTTCTATAAACTTATTTCCTGAAATAACAGAAATAACCAAAAGTTTCATTGGTGAATTGTAAAGACATCTTCTTTGAAGTCATTCTAAAACTTTCATAACATTGATTTTAATTCATTTAATAATTTTATTTATTCAATCATCAAGCCTAACAAATCAATAATATGCTTATTAAAATCTAGATATTATTTGTTTCAATTTACAATTTAAATTTCCAGTCATTCTAATCATAACCATATATGATCTCAACACTCATTTTCAAAATTTATAGTTATAAATTATCGAATTAAAAAGTTGCGTTATTTCAAATACATTTTAATTTTAAAAAAATAGTATTTAATGAAATTATATACATTTCAATCAAGTGTAAGTAAAAAAAAATAAAAATTAAATTATTAAAATAAAAGTAAAGCTTTAATCACAAAGATTCTAGATTGCTATTCAATAAACCATTTCTGAGTTACAGATTAAAACGCATAACAATATTTCATAACATGTTTGTTAAAATTCAGAAAAAAGTAGTGTATATTAGAAGTATTTAAATAGAATTTATTTCTCCCCATTTATTTTAATAAAATTAATATTATCTTTTGTAAAAAAGCTTTTATATATAAGTTTTTTTCAGATTTCAAAAGTTTTTCTAATTATTAACAGCTCAAAAATTTATCGTTTAATCATTAACAGACTTGAATATTTAATTTACTTCATTAACTTAAATTTTTGAATCATATGTAATAATATATAATTAATGACATTGATTCTTTATAATGATTAAATAATCTGATCAATTATTATAGTTCCAAAAAGAATATAATTTGCCCAAATTAGTAATAGATATTTTACATGTTCTCTCTCTATAAGACAGGTATAAGTTTTGCAGATCTGAGTCACATTTAATAATAATGAATAATTCTTAAAATAGATAAAAAAAGTCTTCTGTTAGATTTGGACATTAGAAGATGGAGTCATTATTTTTTTAAAAAGTGAATTTGATGTAATGACATGAATTCGAATAAAATTTTAGGGCTTTTAGTATTAGAAACGATAATAATATTAAGAGAGAAGATAATTAATGGTAAAATAGGTAGAAGAGTGGAATTAAAAGTAGGGTTTGATAAAAAGGTGAAGATAATTAGGAAATAGATTAGAGAGAGAGTAGTTAATTAGGTAGAAAAATAATGATACTTATAATAAATGAAATACAATAATAATTGGCCTGAAAATATTTAATAATATAATTAATCCCTCCAAATTAATAATTTAAAAGATGTCAAAGAACGTAGAGGATATTTACAAGATGGTTTCATAGGTTGAACACATTTTATTGAGACCTGATACTTACATAGGGAGTGTTGAGATATCAGATTAAGAATTATGGATCTGTGAAGATAGTGATTAGATAAGTTTTAAATTAGAGGAATTTAGTTATTGTTAAGGATTATATAAGATATTTGATGAGATATTGGTGAATGCAGCAGACAATTATTAGAGAGATAAATCTACAGATAGAATATCTGTGACAATAGATAATGATAGTATAATGATAGAGAATACTGGAGCAGGTATTCCAATATAAATACATAAATAATACAATATATATGTGCCAGAGATGATATTTGGAAGATTATTGACATCTTCTAATTATGATGATTCAGAATAGAAAGTGACAGGAGGTAGAAATGGTTTTGGAGCAAAGTTAGCAAACTTGTTTAGTTCTTATTTTAAAGTAGAAACGATTCATCAACATAAGAAGTTTACAATGATTTGGACAGAAAATATGAAGAAACATACATAACCAGAGGTAACAAATACAAATGAAAAGCCATATACAAGGATAACATTTAAGCCTGAATTAAATAAATTTTAGATAGATAGATTATAGGATATAGTACCATTATTGAATAAACGAGTGATAGATTTGGCAGGTATATTACCCATAGCTGTGTATTTGAATGGAAAGAAGGTGGGAATAAATAATTTTAAGGATTATGCATAATTGTATGGTATAAATGGGAAATTTGCATATGCATCTTAGAATAAGCCATATAAATGGGAGGTATTAATAAGTTCATCAGATGGTTAATTTGGTTAGGTATCATTTGTAAATTCAATAAATACAATAAGAGGGGGAACACATGTTAATTATGTAGTTGATTAGATAGTAGAAGGTTTATTGGTTCATATAAAGAAGAAGTATAAAGAGATGAAGAATATAAAACCATTTTAAGTAAAGAGTTTTATAAGAATATTTTTAAATTGTTAGATAGTGAATCCTGCATTTGATTCTTAAACGAAAGAGACATTAACAACGAAAGCATAGAAATTTGGAAGTACTTTTGAAGTAAGCGAGAAATTTATAGATGAAATAATAAAAAAGACAGAGATAATAGATAATGTTATATTATAAGCGAAATCTAGATTAAATAAATAATTAAGCAAATAATTATCAGCTAAAAAATAATAGAGATTATTAGGAATAGATAAATTAGAAGATGCAAATGATGCAGGTACTAAGAATGCTGATTTATGTACACTGATATTGACAGAAGGAGATTCAGCCAAATCATTAGCAATGGCTGGAATAGAAATAGTAGGAAGAGATAGATTTGGAGTATTTCCATTAAGAGGTAAATTATTAAATGTTAGAGATGCATCAATTTAAATGATAATGAAAAATGCAGAAATAGAATAATTAGTTAAAATAATGGGTTTATAATTTAATAAGAATTATGATAATACAAAATCTTTAAGATATGGATCAATAATGATTATGACTGATTAAGATCATGATGGACATCATATTAAAGGTTTAATTATTAATTTTATTGAGAAATTCTGGCCTTCTCTATTTAAAATGAAAGGTTTCTTAAAATAATTTGTAACTCCAATTATAAAAGTAACAAGAGGTAAAGAATGTCATAGTTTTTTTTCAATTGGAGAGTATAAAAAATTCATAAATGAAAATCCAAGAGGAGATTATAAAGTTAAATATTATAAAGGTTTGGGTACATCAACAGATTCAGAAGCTCAATAATATTTTAGTAATTTAACATTACATCGTAAAGTTTTTACATATTCTGATTAAACAGATTCTGATTATATAGATTTAGTATTTTCAAAAAGTAAAGCTGATTAAAGAAAAGAATGGTTATCGGAATATTCATGGAAATAAGTAGAAGATACTCTTGATTACAATAAACCAACAGTAAGATATAGAAATTTTGTGACTGATTGTTTAGCTATGCATTCAATAAGTGATAATTTAAGATCAATACCTTCTAGTATAGATGGACTGAAACCTACATAGAGAAAGATTATACATACATTACTTAATCATAATAAATAGGAATATAAAGTTAGTTCTTTAAGTGGATTAGTAACTACTTATGCTTAATATCATCATGGAGAATAATCCCTTTAATAAACAATAATTGCAATGGCATAGAATTTTACTGGATCTAATAATATTAATTTATTATTACCAATAGGTTAATTTGGTACTCGATCTATGGGTGGTAAAGATGCTGCATAGGCTAGATATATTAGTACTAAACTTAATTCTCTTACCACTAAATTATTTATAGAAGATGATTTACATACATTAAATTATTTAGATGAAGAAGGATATACTGTTGAACCATTCTGGTTTACTCCAATCTTACCACTTGTATTAATTAATGGAGCTGAAGGTATTGGAACTGGATGGTCCACTTAAGTACCTAATTTCAATCCTAGAGAAATATCATAATAAATCTAAAGAAAACTTAAAGGTGAAGATTTTGAAGAATTAGTACCTTGGTATAAAGGTTTTACAGGTACTATCACTTCTGGAACTAATCAATATATTGCTAAAGGTTCATATATTTAACATAAAAATCATATCTATATAACTGAGATACCTCCCAAAAAATCTATTAAAGAATATTAAGCATTTATTTAGTCTAAAATGGAAATCTAAGATGGTAAATCAGAACCAGAAATCTTAGATTTTAAAGAATATCATGCTGGTAATAAAGTTTGTTTTGAATTGAAAGTTAATGATGATGTCTTAAAATAAGATCTAGATAAATATTTTAAATTAACTACTACAATTGCAATGACTAATCTCGTCTTATTTAATCATAATGGATTACTTAAACGATATTCTAATATTACAGAAATTTTAGAAGAATTCTATCAAACTAGAATTAAATTCTATTAACTTAGAAAGTAATACTTACTTTCTAAATATTAAAACGAATTATAATTAGTCTAATCTAAATCCAAATTTATTGAAGCTATGATAGATAATTCTATCCAATTAAGAGGATTAAAAAAAATTTAAATGTGTAATAAACTTTAATCACTTGGATTCAAAGGAATTAGTTAACTTGAATAAATTACAAGTACTAAAATATCAAAAGAAATTGACATTGATAATTTAGAAAAATAATATGATTATCTTTTAAGTATGCCTATGTGGAATTTTAGTGAAGAAAAAATAACTGCATTTAAATCATAAATTAAATCATTGTAAGAATAAATTAATACACTCAATAAGAAAACTCCAGAATAATTATGGTCCGATGATATTGATGATTTCTTAGCTGAATTAAATAAAGTTGAAGATCAAGAAACTTAAGAAACTATTAAAAGAGTTGAAAAAAATGCTGAAAAATTATTAAAAGGTGGTTCAAACTATTTAAAAACACTTGTATTAAAAGGAAAAGATGATTATACTCAATAAGAGGATGATTATGATTCTGAATCTGATAATGATGGTCCATCAAGAAATCCTAAAATATTAAAAAAAGTTATTCAAGAATTTTCTAATTTTGGTATAAAATCATAAAGAGAACCTCCTTAATCAAAATTTAAAATATAATTAGAAAAATAAACTAAAAAAAAAGATAATTAAGATGAGAATAAAAGTGAAAAACCTATTTCAATGGATTTAGAAAATGATACACCAAAGAGAAATAAAAAATTTATAGATAGTTAAAGTGAAGATGAAAAAATTGATCTAAAAAAGAAAACAAGAAAAAATAATCAATAAAATGATATTTCTGATATTTAAGTATAGAATAAAGATTCTGAACTCAATAAATTTGAAAATAAATCTAATAAAGTTGAATCCAAATTATAAAAAGCTGATTAAAAAATTATCAAACCTACAAGAACTAAAAAAATTGTACCTTAAATGGATTCAGAATAAAAAGCTTCTGAAATTAAAAGAAAAGCAGAACTAGAAATCGCAGAAGAAGATTAGAAATTAATTGAATAAGAAAAAAAAGAATTAGAAAAATAAAGAGTACCTGTTGATTCTTTGAAAGTTCCAATTTAAGATAAAGAAGAAATGGATCTTTTCTAAAAATATGGATTTGGAGATTTAATGAAAAAATATCTCACTAAAGATAATAATCCTATTCCATCATTAGCTGATAGAATACTCTAAAGAACAAAATAAGGAGAAATTAATTTTGATTAAATCATTGCTGATAAAAAATAAGAAAGTGCAATCAAATAAAAAGAAAATTAAGATTCAGAAAATGATGTTGAAGATATCTTATAATTAGATTTAAGTTATGAATCTGAAATTAAATAAAAAGAAAAACCAACTAAACCAACTAAACCAACTAAACCAACACCAAAATCTACTGATGAAAGAAAATCAGCTAAAAAGAGTATTGAGTAATTATAATAATAAAATACAACCACTCCTGCTAAACGAAAGCAAAGAAAATAAATAATTGAATCAAGTGATGAAGAACCTTTAAATAGAAAATTAAAAAAAAAATGAGAAAATGATTATTAATTATGTATTTTTTATAGAAAAAAACAACAATAAAAGACAAATATCTACTTCTCCTTTTTCATTTTTTTTTATATTTTATATTAATTTTTATTAGTTTTATGTATATAGTTTTTGATCCAATAAATTAAAATAAAATTGAATGTAAATTTATGGATAATAAGAACAAAGAATTGATCTAAAGAATAATAAATTCGCTGGGTAATCAGAAAATATAATTTAAACAAGTTTTTTTTCTAAATGGAAATATCCTTTACGTTAAGGAACTTCAAATAGTAGATTATTAGAGCTTATTTATATTTAAAAATAAAATAGCAATAAATTATACAATTAATTGATAAATGAAACAAAAATTATTTATATTTAATGATGGTTCTATCTAAAACTTTATATATAAATGTTGTTTAACTTTAAAAATATTCTATACACCAAAATGAAGACTAGATTTCTGTTAAGCCAATTTTTAAAAAAAGGAAATCATAATATTATTCTCTAAGTAAAAGTTTTCAATGAAAATTGTTAAATATATTACTCTAAATAACACATTAATCTCTAAAATAGAGTGGTAAATAAAAACTTTAATTCCAGGAAATAAATGATATTGAAAATCTTGTAAAATTAAAGTATAGTTGTACATCATTGTATTTATTCAAATAAATTAAGTATTTAAAAGAGATTTTTAGATACAAATATATTTTAACTCGAAAGTGAAATATTAAATTCACAAAAATTAAAAAAAAATTCTGATCTTAAAAACTATGATACTATTTTTTTCAATAAATTTTTGAATATAATAATTAAGTGCTCAGTTTATGAAGAATAAAAAAGGTAAAAGAAGTAAAAACCAAAAAATGTAAAGAATGCTTTAGGAAGAGATTTAATAATGAAAATAAAAGAACAATTTTATGAACTGATATATGGAATAAAAATAAACCCTAATATGATTTTTAAAGATTGCAAATTTTTAAATAAGTTTAATATTAAAATTCTAAATTTTAATATCAAAATTAAAATTATAATAATTATTAATAACAAAAATAAATTATTTTTGACTTTTCTGAAAAAAACCACAATGATATGATTTTAATTTAATCAATACGAAACTGTAAAAACTGAAATAATAAATAAAACATACAAAAAATCAATCATTATTTTTTTTTAATATTTGTAACTTATTATAATGAACTTTTAGCAACTAATTATAATTAGGCCAATATCACTTACAATAATAAACACAAAATTATTTAAATTAAAAAGAAGAACAAAATAAAAAAAATAGAAGTACAATGGATTTAATAATAATCCTTTAAACAAATTGAATTTTAATTATAGAAATCTAACATTATGAAAAAAAATAAAATAAATACCAACTGTGTGTGAGAATGAAATATAATCAAATTTATTAATCACATGAAATAGACTCAGATATCTTAATTGAAGATGTAGGCAAATAAATTAAAAGTGAATGTCAAATTAATAATAAAATTGATCTTGCTTACTAAGAAAGTAAATTTTTTTTATAATTCCAACTTTGGAATAAGTTGGAATTAAGGTTTATAATATAATTATTGCTGAATATGTTTAAAATTGATTTATGAATTGGTTATTCATTTGATTGAAACAATTTATTAATTAATTTTCTGATGGTTTTCTATTATTAATATTATTTATGAATAAAAAAGAAATTAAATAAGATGGAGAGTCAACACCGTAAACGAAATCAAGTTTACTTAAAATTGAATCGAGAGAAGGATAAATAGTATATATATTTACAAAATTATTTGATCATCCAATACGATAATAAATTAAATTTGCGTTTGGATAGATTAATGTGTTTATTGAAAAATAAGGAATAAAATGTTTTAAGAGTGAAATGAATAGTATGGAATGCTTAAATTAAGGAATTGATTGGGATTAGAAATACTTTGATAAAATTATTACATGTTTGGAAAGGCCTGATAAAGATTTTAGGTATATTAATAAATTATATTTATTAGCTACTCATTTAAAAGAAGCGAAGGGAATGAACAAGTTCCATGTGATTATGTTTTGATTTTATCTGAAAAAGTTCATAAACTAAATGAAGTGATTTTATTAAGAGTATATTTAATTGAAAATTCATCACTTTCAACATTAGATCATTTTTATAGGATTTGTAAAGAGATTTAAGATAAAAAAGATGTAGCGTTTAAGAATTTGGAGGAAAAATTTACTAATTTAAGTTAATAAAGATAAAAATTATAAACTGATATTGAATTTATAAGCAATTAATCATAATAGAGAGAAAAGGAGATTCTAAAAAAATTTGTTCTTTTATTAAATGAAAAGAAAAAAGAAATATGCAGATTAAATTAAATAAATGGATTAATAACTAATTAAATTATTGAAGAGGAATAATAAAATAATTATATAAATGTTGATGATTTTTTTGAAGAAAAGTAAATTCCTGTTAAAAAATAATATGACGATTAGGGATAAAACTCTCAATTTCCAGTCAGTTAAATAGATTAATTTTTATTCACTTAGGATACATAATTTAAAAAGGATCTCAAAGAAATTCCATCAAAAAAAACGAAATTTTGATTAATTTTTTGTCAATGTGTTATTATTGAATCTCATTTTATATTAATATTTGATATATGATAAATTTGATACATGATAAATTCAATATATTCTAAAATAATTATTGAGGATCTAAAAAATTAGTTTATAGTGAATGAAAACTTTAAAAAATAAAATTTAGTTTTTTGATTTTATTTTAAAAATAAAGAGCATAACCATGTTCATCTAGGATTCAATTAAAAATTGTAGCTATTTTTTCATAATACAAAATATCATAAATAATGATTTTAATATTTTTCGATTATTATTTAAATAATTTTAAAAAAACCAACATAAAATGGTTTAAATCACAATGATTAGCGTATTATTTTTAATGACAGATTCCTTTTGTTTATGGAAAACTTAATTTACAGAATAAACTTTTTCAATGCCTTCTAATTGGTAGATTACAGGAGCATATAGTGGAAATAGAGTTTCGAATTGCTAAGGTTAAAATATTGTAGGGGGATTTAATATAGTTGGAAGTGGAAGTGTAATACGTGGAACCTATTCAAACATTCCCCGACATAGTGCAATCAAAGTGAGATTAAAAGTTTATTATATTGATTCATGGGATACTGAAGATGCATCAATTAGTGCTGGGGGATTCGTTACATCAAGAACTTGGTATTTAGATTGGGGACCATCTAATGTTTGTGGAGCAGGATATAAAGATGGTGTTATATGGGAGACTCTATAAGGAGCTCATACTGCAGAAACATTAACTATTACTCTTAATCCACATGGATTGGATGAATCTGCAGATAATGGTTATATTTAATATTAATATTTAGAATCTTTAGGTCTTAAGAATGTTGAAATATATTTGAAGCCTATTTAATGCATATAATTTTTTACAGAATGTGATTATACTGGAACAATGAAAGAATTTTGTGAAGATTCTCCTAATTAAGATAGAAGAAATATTCCTTAAAAGATTAAATCTATTAAAATGCATGGTTGTGGAAAAGTGACGCTAACAAAAAAAGGTTTAGGCTCAATAACTATAACTGAAAATGTTTCTTGCTTAACTGAATTTGATGTAATTTTGTAAATATATAATTTAAGTTTCCTCCTGTTGAGAATTTAAATAGGTGATAAAAACCTTAATTGAATATCCATTTTTCGTTTTATACTAGTTTTATATCAAAAAATTACAATCATTTTAAAAATTTAGACTTTTATTATTTATTAAAAGAATAATTATTCAAAGAAAGCCCTAAACCATTTTTGAATCAATATCATAATAAAAATTAGGAATTATTTTACAACATCATCTTTCTATGATTTAATTATATTATATTATATTTAATTCAGCCATAATTTATAATAAATAATTCAAAAATTAGATACTTATAAGTATATTCAAATGGATTGATAATATGTTTCTATTGTAGAAAAATACAAAAAAAAATAAACTTATTAAATGTTTAACTAGTCATTTCATTATTAATCTAAATAATTTCTATGTGAAAATTTCAACGTTTTTATTTACTTCTTAAATCATTAATCTTATTTTTAATAATAACTCCTAATTAAATTAATATTATATTCTAAGTAACAATTTCTATAATTTCTATAATTTTTCAAAGGTCATTCATCAAATTTTTTTTTCTTTTTACAAATACTGATTTTAATACTCTTTATATATTTAATTGATATGGATCTAATGAAATCATTTCATTAGAACGGATTTAAAGTCAATCTAACTTTTAAAGTTTACATACTAAAAATAAATTTAAATTTATTTAGTAATGCTAATACTATAAAATAATGATTAATCATAAATTAGAAATAATTTAATAGAAATTAATAATATTTTAACTTAAAAGTGAATAAACTCTTTAAATTTAAACATTTTGAAAATGATTTTCAAATATTTAATACTATGTTTTTATATAATAAATTATAAAATTATAACATAATTTTTAACTGATAATAATCGATAAGATCTTAATCATTATAATAAAATTTAAACTTATGAGAGTAACATATTGGATTGTCTTAACACTTTTAGTGTTAGGGAATTGTTAACAAGTAGACATCCATGTTAAAGATGTCTATTTAATAGTTAAAGGAGTTGTAGAAGGAGTATAAGTAGATGATCATGTTGAAGTAAGAGAGATTGTTTCTTGTTTGAATGACTCAGAAGAATTAATAAATAATATTGTGGAGGCTATTACAAATTTAGAAACTTAAACATTTGATGGAGTTAAGGAAGGAATAAAATTAATAGGAGTGGCTATTTAATAAATTCCAGATGCAATCACTGCATGTTAATCTGGATCTGAAGAAATGGTAGCATTATCAAGTATATACTTATAATAAGAAATAGAACTTCTAACTAATATGCTTGAATAATTAAGAAATCCTTGGACCTTTTCATATAAAATTGGTTATAATTTAATTGTAAATGGACTGGATATTTATAAAGAAATTAGTAATTAGTAATTATAAGTTTAGGCACTGCTATAAAAGATTGGAAATCAGAAGTTTATGAAGATTTTGGAAAATAGATTGGATTTGTATTGGTTTAATTGTTAAAGGAAACTAAAAATATAGAGGCTGTTATTTTAGATGATGAAGTTATTGGAATAATATTTGAAGGATTACTTGATGGAATAGTAGATGCAAGTGGAATTAAAGCTAAAGATATTAAATCTTGTTTAAGTGTTACAGATGGAATTGTGATAGATTTTGAAAAGGCTGTTAGACTTTTAGAAAATGGATCTGTTTCAAGTGTTATCTAAGCTTTATAATCATTTGTTGAAGGACTCTCTGAATTTCCAAAGGCTCTTGAAATTTGTTAATCTAGTTCTTAAGAGGCTTTAAAATTAGTTGAAAAAATAAAGGAATTGATTGAAGCCTTATCCAAGCCTACTTCATTTATATATCATATTGGAAAAGATTTGATTATTAATGGAAAGGATATCTATTAAGAAGTACTTACTTTTATAAAATTATTTTAGATTTTTGCAGCTGTTGATGATTGGAAACAAGGAAATTGGAATGATTTTGGTTTTTAATTGGGCAAGGCAATGGAACAAATTTTCATTGGACAATAATAAGAAATATTATTATATCAACTATGAAATATATTTATTTCATACTAATTATATTCGATTTTATATTTAAATACTTATAAACAATTTACTTGTTATTTGTGTGGAATTATGAAATAATTAAATCAATAATAAACTCATTCTTTTTTATTATTTTCTAAAACATAGAAATAAACAGTTCCATTTATTTTTCTCTCTTTGGTTAAAACCATAAGTTCAGGATCTTAAATAATAGATTCCCAATCTCTATTACAAAACTAACCCAAAGTTTTCAAGTATTTAGCTTATTTGTATTCTAAATAGAGATTAAGTATGTCATAGGTGCTTCTACCAGATGTAAGTAATAATATCTTGCCGCCCTATATATACAAATTAATTTTACCTGGTTTACAAACTCTCTTCATCTCAGATATGACCTTTTCAGGATTTAGATAATATTCCAAACCAAAAGTATCTAATACAGTGTCAAATGTATTGTCTTTAAAACTCATATTTTCAACATCTTCCAATCTATATGAAATATTAATATTTGATGTTGATTTTAATAATGCCACTTCCAATACATTACTACTCCAATCTACAGCTGTTACATCACTCCCTTAAGGATAATGCTTTAGATTTCTTGAAGTACCAACACCTGTTTCTAAAATCTTCCCTTAACATAGTCCCACTAATGTCTTACGATATGATGCCTACAATTATACTTCTATTTACAATTTTGCTTGTATGTTCATAAGAATCAAATGTTGGGTCATATATATAAGCAGCATTTTAATGTTGCTGAAGCAAATATTATCTTTTATCAGGAAGAGTGTCAAAGTATAGTTCCTTAAATTATTTTGCTTCATTTATTTTATAACTTCCATATGCAGCAATCCCAAAAAGAGCTTTTTTATTTCAAATTCTATTTACCTACTGAAGCTCCCACAAATCTGCCAATCATAATTAATTATTAATTATATTTAATAAAAATCCATTGATATATTTTAATATAATTTTTAGTTTATAATATAAACTTTATCAATTAAAAGATCTAATTATTATTAAAATTATCAATTATAAATTAAATAATTCATATTCATATCACTAACTAAGCTAATGGTTATAATATATTAAGTTTATTTTATTTACAATATATATTAATAGTATTTTTATTATCTAAAATGTCTAATTTAATAAAAAAAATGGTTTTAAATAAAATAAACAAATTTTATGAAAACAAATATTTCATAAATATCTCTATCATAATTATATAAATTAAACTAATTGAATTTTAAATTATTTCAAACTTTTACTATTTTGTTTTTCTAATATAAAATGGTTTTTAATAAGAATCATATAAAAAATAAATATGATTCAAATATAATTTTAATTTGTAAATAATTAAAGCGAATTAAATATAAATTATAAAATTGAATTTAAAATTTTGGTTATTATAATATTAAGTTTAATAAAATAACCATAAATTTTAAATAATGAAAAGAATTAATCAGAATTAAAAGAAGAGATAGAGTTGAAATTCTTTGATCTTAATTAGGATTGTAATAATAAAAATAAGAATGAGTGAAGAACATCCAGCAGTAGTAATAGATAATGGTTCTGGTTAATGTAAAGCAGGAATAGCAGGAGATGATGCTCCAAGATGTTGTTTTCCTGCAATCGTTGGAAGACCTAAGCATCAAGGAATAATGGTAGGAATGGATACAAAAGAAGCATATGTAGGAGATGAAGCATAAGCCAGAAGAGGAGTTTTATCATTAAAATATCCAATTGATAATGGAATAGTTAATAATTGGGATGGTAAGAAATAGTATCTAAAAAAATTAGACATGGAAAGAATATGGCATCATGCATTCTTTAATGAATTAAGAGTATCTCCAGAAGATCATCCAGCACTTTTAACTGAAGCACCTATGAATCCAAAAGTAAATAGAGAGAAAATGACTCAGATATTATTTGAAACATTTAATGTTCCATCATTTTATGTTTAAATATAAGCTGTTCTTTCATTGTATGCTTCAGGTAGAACAACAGGAGTGGTTGTAGATTCTGGAGATGGTGTAACACACACTGTACCTATTTTTGAAGGATATTCATTACCTCATGCAATTTAAAGAATTGATTTAGCAGGAAGAGCTTGTACTTAATATCTTGTAAGTATTTTAAATGAATTGGGAATATCATTTACTTCTTCAGCTGAATTAGAAATTGCAAGAGATATGAAAGAAAAATTATGTTATGTTGCATTAGATTATGATACAGAAACTAAAAATTATAAAGAAAGTGCTGCAAATAATAAACCATATGAATTACCAGATGGAAATGTTGTTGTCATTTAAAATTAGAGATTTAGATGTCCTGAATTATTATTTAAACCTAACTTTATTGGATTAGAAGTACCAGGAATTCATGAATTAACATTTAAATCTATTATGAAGGCAGATATTGATGTTAGAAAAGATTTGTAATATTTTAATCTTAATATAATTTAGATATGGAAATGTTGTTATGTCTGGAGGTACAACTATGTTCCCAGGAATTCCTGAAAGATTAAGTAAAGAATTAACAACTTTGGCACCATCATCAATGAAAGTTAGAGTAGTAGCTCCACCTGAGAGAAAGTTTTCTGTTTGGATTGGTGGATCTATCTTATCATCACTATCAACATTTTAAGCAATGTGGGTTACAAGATCAGAATATGATGAAAGTGGACCATAAGTAGTTCATAGAAAATGTTTCTGATTAATATCATTTAATTTATTTCAACTATAAATCATTCATAATTCATTATTTACTTAAAGAGCTTTTATACTTCCTTATTTCTTAATTAACTTTTAATCTTTTTAAGGTATTATTTAGAGGGTTAATCTGGTAATTCTATTTAAGGAGTGTCAATGGTGGAAGGTGGAATGTGCTGAATCTCTAATGAACCTTATTTTTTAAATAGTCAAATAATTTATTTAAACACAGTTAATTTTTACTAACTAATCTTTTATAAAATAGTTTTCTGAAGGAAGAGTATATTTTATTTTAGGTAATTAAATGATTTATAAAATATTAATCTAGATTTAATACAGTTTTGATATTTGGATTTATCCTAAAATAATTAAAAAAATTGATCATTATTTTTCTCTTTTTTGTGGCTTCACCTTCAATAAAGATATAAATTGATTTTTTATAATTATTATTGATAGGCTGTCCTTTTTATATTTTAAATTCATAAATTCAAAAAAAATTTTAAGGAAATCCTTTATTCATAAAGCAGACATCCATAGATATCAAATATCATAAGGGAAGGAAAATAATATAATATATTAAGGAATTTGAAATTAAAAATATCTTGCCAAATAATATTATAAATATTTTGAATTCCCCTAATTGTTTTAGTCATAATTTCATTGGCTATTTTGTTAAAATTAAAATCACCTATTTTGGACAGTCATTAGAAAGAATGAGATTGAATTAATTTATTACTTAATGTAAATTTGTGAAAAATAAAAACTTAGATAATATAAATAACATGATAGCCAAATTAACAATTAAAATAATATGTATATTTTTAAAACAATTAAATGATTTAATACACTATATATATTTTGGCTAAATTAAGGATCTATTTGTAAAATTTGAATATTTTGTTGACATTTCAATCCTTGTAATGAATGAGTATAAGACTCTCAAAGTTGTTATAGATTTTGTTGTTTTAGCTTGAAGAAATTGCATGTTGGAGCATAATATACGTATTCAATAACAATGTAAAGCATGCAATTATTTTAAAATGAATGATTTATCCAATAATGTGGAGGTGTAGGGACTATTGATTGATGCAAGAATTTATATTGTAATTAGTTATTCATTTAAAATTTGATGAGAGGTGCAATTTTTATTTTGTTAAGAATTAATTATGAAGAATTGATTTAACTTAATGAAAAGGATGATTAGTAGTGTTACTTTGTAAATTTGATTGAAAGAACCTTCTTCTAATGTGTCTATTATAATAAAATCATTTATTGTAGTGTGAATTAATAAAAATATATATAAATGGAAATAATCATTCACACATTCGAGAGATTCTTTGGTCCATTTGATTGGAAGCGTCTTAAGACTGATGTACTTTGTTAGTCCTTGGTAAAATTATGAATGATTATTGTTTAGGTAGAAGAGGGTTTCAGTCCAAAGGAAGCCAAAGAGCTATCTTGGTTATATGGCCATAGAAATATTGGAAGAAACTTTGGTATGAACAGTAAATTTATAGTTTAGGATTTGTGTTGGGTATTGGAGTTGCTTATTGTTGTAATAGTTGGATTACAAGATGGACCTACAATATTCCATACCTGAGACTCCACCGCTCTTCATTATGGGTATCTAGAGCATTAGTAGTATTTGGTACACTACAACTATTCGATTATTACTCAACTGCAAGAAGAAAGGGAGGAGATTCAGGTTTGGGACATGATTTGATGTGGGTTAATACTAGATACACAGAATCTAAAGAAAGATTTATTAGGAATTTCGAAGTTTTAAATAGAAAATTGTCAGATATTGAAAAGGAAATCTTAACAGTATGATTTGATCTTTATAAATGAAAGGCAAGACAAATACAGTTGAATTCTCCAATAAAAGATAGAAGATGGGTTTATAATCCATATATTCATGGTTCAGATGAAGAGGCATTTTGGAGCAATGTTAGAAGAAATTTCTTAGATAAATTACCACCATGGGAGAGATATGATGTTTAATAATAGTAATTTAAATTTATAATTGAAGGATTGCCGCTGATAATAAAGAAAAGATTGCTGAAGGAGAATAAATTAGATTGAAACCTTATAAATTGACAGATGATGTAGATACATCTGGTGTTAAATTTGGATTTAGAAGAAACCCATTTGTGAACAATTGGACTCCACTCTAGTGAGTATTTTACATTTATAACAATAAAAACAATATTTGTCATAGATTGTATATATATTGATATATTATTAACTCCAATAATAGGAGTCAGAATATTAATTAACTAAATGTCAACGTTAAAGAAAACGTTCCAACATAGCTTTAAGAGTATCTGATAATAGTTGATGATATTAAATGGATCGATTACTCATCAACATTGCATCATCAAGAGAACTCTAAAAGATTTAAACTAAATGATCATCATTACTATTTAGTTAGAGTTGGTCATTCCAAAACTTGGCTCCTGTTACTTATTAATAGATATATGAATTTATCTTACATTCAATTTTCGTTAGAAGAGTACTCAAAGATTCTTTAGCTTATTAATGTGTGTTTTTAGATTGAGTATAGAAAAGTTCTTTTTCTAAGAGATCGAAGGAAGTTTCTAATTATTCATTCCTCATATCCATAAGAGTTTCTTGGATGACTGTATGCATCAAACTCAATAATAATAGTGCTTCATTTCTAGAGTTAGAATGGTTGCTTTATTTAAAGAGTCGGTCTACTCCTTTTATAAAGAAATCTAATTCTTAACTAGGATTAGATTTGAATAGGCCAATCATAATCTTTGACTCCAATAATTCTAAAGTTTTGAAAATATCTTATATATTTGGAGAATCAACCACTAATAATTAATCATATACTTTTACCCTCTTTAATTTTTTAAAGTAAAAAGTTGTATTCATCAAATCTCTTCTAAGCATCCTCTCTTGCCTAAAGTTTGATCTTTGCCAATTCTCTAGTGTCAGCCTCAATCAATTTATCCTTAAGACATTCAATAAAATTATGATACTTTATCTATTATTAGGCGTTTTAGAAGATTTATGACTTTAAGGTATGTCTCATGAAGAAAGAGTTCTAAGCTATCCTTCTCCTTTTTATCATAAAAGAGTCTTGTTTTGAGTAATTTTTTAACCTAATTTAAGTGTACTTTAACTCACATCAGCATAATGTTCTAAATAGATTGTCATTCCTTCCTCTTCAAACTATCTATCTTAGCGTGATTTCCATTCTAATTTCTCAAGTGCTGTATAGTACTCTAATTATTAGATGGACTCTTTGATCCCATTCATTTAATTATAGATTTCCATCAAATACTATTCTTGAACATAAGCAAGAGCCGGAATCAATAATAAATATAACATTAATTAATTAATTCTAATTGTATATTCATTACTCTATATCAGCTCAACTATCCTTCTTACTACCTAACTTTCTAATATTAATAATTAAAAAATGTCAAAATCATCTGTTATTGATGTTTTTCTAAGAGTCCGTCCTACTAAAAATCCATCAAATCTCTTTAAACTTAATAAAGATGAGGGTACAGCTGAATTCACAATTCCTAAAAATCCAGATTAAGGGTACATCAATAACCAAATTGAAAAACATACTTTTAATTTTGCAGGGGTTTTTCCAACCGATACTACTCAAGAAGAAATCTTTGATAAAATAGCAAAGGATGTTGTTGATTCAGCAATTGAAGGTAATGAAATCCTTTTTTTAATTAAGGTTACAATGGAACAATATTTGCATATGGATAAACAGGATCAGGTAAAACTTATTCAATGACTGGAAATCCTGAAGCTAGATCTTCCGCAGGTATTATTCCACGTACTTTATATCATATCTATGATTATGCTCGTAGAGAATCAGAATTAGTAAAAATCTATTTCAAATATTAAATTAGATAATTGATGTAACCATTAGTTATCTTGAAATCTATGGAGGATCTGGATATGATCTATTAGTTGCGGATAATAGATCCAGAAATCTTCATGATTTACCAAAAGTTTAAGCTATGGCAACTGCTAATGGATAAACAATTTTATAAGGATTATCTTTAAAAAAGGCATAAACTGAAGAAGATGCATTAAATCTACTCTTTATTGGAGAATAGAATAGAGTTATTGCTGAAACACCTAAAAATGATGCTTCAACTAGATCACATTGCATTTTTATTGTTATTTTAGAATGTCGTAAACCAACTTCAGATGTTAAAACTGTATCTAAACTATGTTTAGTTGATCTCAGCGGTAGTGAAAGAATTGGTAAAACTGGTGTTGAAGGCATTCTTTAAAGAGAAGCAACAGGAATCAATCTCTCTTTACATTTTCTAGAATTAGTGATTGATTGTTTAAATAGATAAGCTAATGGTGAAAATATTCACATACCATATAGAGATTCATTGATGACTCTTGTATTAAAGGATTCTTTAGGTGGTAATTGTAAAACAAGAATGATTGCTACAATGTCTAGTGAACCTGATGATTTACCTGAATCTATATGTACTTGTAGATTTGCAGGAAGAGTGGCTAATATCAAAAATAAAGTCACTAGAAATGAAGCTGTTGATCCATTTATCATTATTGAAAAGTTGAAAAGAGAAAATCAATAATTAAAAGCTGAACTTGCTATGATTAAAGGTTAAAGTATTAAGGATCATCTTGAATCTTATGAAATAGATGAATGTAAAAAAAAAGTTGATGAATTTTTAAATTCTGAAGATCCTGCAGCTATACTTGTTGTTAATGATCACCTTAAAATGAATGAATGCTTTTTCTAACTTAAACATATGCTCAAAAATTTAAATAAAAAGGGTTCACTCTAACCTGTTGTTTCATAACCATAAAATCTTACAACTAACAATACAGTTGAATTATAACAATTAAATGATGAAGTCTTGAGATTAAAATAATTAATCATACAAAGGGATAATGAAATCATGATCCTTTTAAATCTTATTCAAAAAGGCAAAGGTTCACAGGCCAATCAATCTTTGGTACTTTAAGGGCCTATTTCAGAATAACCTGAAGTTCAATAGGCTAATACATCCAGTATTTTATAACCAATTGAATTTCCAAAATAAGTTGAAATTGATAGATAGAGTTAAATTCTAACTGAGAAACCTGCGATTAAAAAATAGAATTTTATGTAAGGCAGTCTAGATAGCGAACCTATGAGTTAAACAACCAAAAATACTACAACAGCTTAATTAAAAGAATTAGGTGGAATGTTATCAGAACCTATAAATATTTCAAATGAATAATTACTAGATCGAAATTCTGCTTTAGAAATGTTCAGAAAGTCATATAGGAAAGCATAAGCCTAAGAAGATCTGAAGTAAGAGTTATACGATAAGATGATGACTAGTAAAGAATTAGGTTTGTTTATCAATAATCAAAGAAATGTTATTAGTTAATTAAAGGATAAAATAGAATAAACAAGAAAAGAATAAGTTTTACTTGGATTAGTCAGTAGTGATCCAAATCAAGTAAGCACAGAAGAAGAAAAATTAATTGCTGAATATAACAAATAGAAAGACATGTAATTAAATCTAAAATTAAAATAGATATAAATAATCATTTGATAAATTAAAACAATTAAAGGCAGAAGTAGAGAGAATGAGTACATAATTGAAGCATAGTCGGGAGAAAATGTAATAGGACTTTGAGAAATGGATAGATATGATGTTGAAATAGAGGAATTTAAGTATGGCTGCGACATCAGTATTATCTGATTTTAAGAATTTATCTTAGAAAGGAGGAGAGGATGTAAATAGTATGGTGTAACAATTCTACAAAAACAAAGAGATATGTAATTAATTATTATAAAAATGATTACTTTTTTAATATATAAAATTTTGTTTTGGGATAATGTTTATGATGATACATATTTAGATCATTCTTTGATTTAATACTTCTTTCTCATTTCGAAGTACTTTCTATAATTTTAATCTCTAGATCTAGAGACAACGATATCTTTGGCGTAAAGGTAGGAGTAAAACATTTGTGTCAAAGGCATTCCTTGACGAGCCAATCTTAAATCAAAAGCAATAATTACTTATCATTATTATATCCTGTATTAATAAGACCACTTCCTTCAGAATTCTTACCAGCTGTTAAGAGATAATATTCTCTTTTTTAGATTTGATCTAATTATTAATTATGCTTAAATTACTTGATTCCAATTTGTATTTATAGAGTGTACCAATCACACCTAAGCCAAGCATTGTTGTAATTATACGTCCTTTTGGTTATCTAATACGATAAGTCTTCCAATAAATGTAACCAAATGGATTTTTAATCAATCTAAAGAAATTCTTGAAGAATCTCCTCTTGTTTCCTCTATCAATAAATTTCTTTTGCATCTAATGAATATAAATGATATTCTCACTCTGAATTTCTCCATTTCCCAATCATATGCTTTTCCCATAGATCTCCAAATCATCTCCAATCTCTCTCTCTTATTTGGAGCATGATAATAGAGATAATGTTGTCCAAATGTACGCATCTTTACATCTGCATCACCTGTTGATTAATCACGAATCCAAATGTAGTCCTACTACATACGCTCTTGTGCGTTGGTCATTTTAAATCTTTTTTTAATAATAATATCATTCGTAGTGGAATCGTGAATCAGCAGGTAGATTTTGTGCTAAACGTTCGTATACATTCATACGAGATCTCTTAGAAAGAGCCTTGGTCGCATAGTAAGCATTCGAGAATGGACTTCTTGAAAATAAGTCAGATTTCCTTTTTTCTTATCTTTGTTCCTGAACTAGCTAGCTATACTAATATTACTCTTCTATTCTAAAACACTATCGTTTTTCTCTATTACTTAATTGAATAAAGGTCTTAAATTAAATCCATAATCCTTTATTGATTAACTCCGCAACTTATTATCCATCACTATTCGAAACATTGTTTTCCTTGCTTAATTCATCACTTTCTATTTATCTTCAAAAGAGGCCTCCTTTGCATCTATAGTGCTTTTCGATTATTATTGAGGTTTCTTAGAAATTTTACTTGATTTCATCATTTAAATAGCAGGACTCTAAGATTAGAGCGAGCATTTAAAATGTTTAAATTACTTAAACATATCTTATAATTAAGCAAGATTCTGTATTTTAGATCTAGATAAGGTTCCCTTCTCTAGATTTCTGCTCTTGCTAGTATTTTGACGAAACATAGGTAAATGTTGTTACTCATCTTCATCTACCTGCAATATCAGCTTCTTGTGGTACCCATGATGAGAGTGAGAACTCTTGACTTTAGAGAGACTTAAGTATGGGTGATCAGTCATATTTTAGTAATAAATATTAATAAACTCTCACTTTGACCAGAAACCCCCTTCTGTTTTATATGGTGCTCTGTCCAGACCTCCTTTTAAATTAAGATTATGCAGAAAATCTATTCCATTGATTACTTTAGCTAAACAATTTTCTATGATGAATTTTGTAAATACTTAAACATGCTTCCTCTTTAACGTTCATAGCTCGTTCATAATTCTTAAGACATTTCTTATAACACAACTTATCGATAGTTAATATCTTTTAACCAACATGAGAAAAATCACGTGCTTCTTCCATAAATAAATGATAATTAAAAATAATTCAATATTTACTCATTTCAGTATTGTTCAAGAGCATTGATAACTCTTCATTTATATTAGCACTTGGTCTAGGTCTTACTTTTGGTTTAGGAATATTATTAGAACTTTAACGAGTAGGTTCAATATTCTGTTTTCCCCTTATTGTAGTTTGGCTTGTGCTTTATTTTTTCAATTTATCAGGTGTCTTATATTTGACAGTTTATTTCTTATTACAAGAAGTACTGTTATTTTTATGATGAATTGAATTTGAAGGTTGTAAAACATCCATTTCACTAATAAAGCTTTACAAAACAGTCTTAAAATTAATTTCACTTAAATCTTAAACAGTCTATTAAGATTCAGTCTCATTCATAGTTTATTTAGTAATATTATTAGAATGATGTAAGTAGGTAGGAAAGTCAATTTTAAAGAATTCTTCAGATTCAACACTTTGATCCACTTCTTTTTCTTTAACCATTTCTACATTGACCAAATTATTATACATAATTTCATCTAAATTTATTTATTAAAATTCTTAGATATCTATTTCATTTTCATTTTATTTTATCAATTAAAATTAATCAACATTATAAAGCTTTTACAAATCAGAATTTTAACTCTATCCCCTTTCATGTTATTCAATTTACAATTTTAGTAACTAAGTTTGATAAAACGAAATCATTTATTGCAATTATTAATTTTCAAGTTGTTTAACATCAAAATTTAACTATTGTTTCATTTCTGATGCATAACTATATAATTAATTATATTAAGTATTTAGAGATTGAATTTGATTATTTTATTACTGCATCTTAAATTTAATCGAAAAATATAATTCTTATAATTAAAGATATGATTATTTAACTAATTCGAAATTGGAAATGAGTGTCTTTTTATTTTATTCACTAACTTTTAAAGCATTTAAAACTAATTTCCCCTAACAATCATGTTAAGGGGGTTTTTTGACTTTTTAATTAGTAAGAAGAATATCACCTGCACCAATACAATGAAGATCATATTTAAATCTATCAGCCCAAGTAATTTCTTTATAAAGTTTAGGAATGCATTAGAAATTTTAAGCATTTTAAGTAGTAATCCTATTTTATAATTATTAATTTTAAATTTATAATTGACCTAGTTATTATTCAAAATTTTCTTTTTCTTCTGCTCTAATTTTTTCATAATCATGCAATTTTTTTTCATAATCAGAGAGTAAAATCTTTAAGGCTTCATCATCATTTTGATAATTTATATTTGCAAGAACTTTAGTTTCAATTTTTTTGGCATTCATTCCAAACCTTAGGGTAGAAATGGAATAATCAAAATGAAGTGCTGCTGAATTGATACATAATATAATTAATGTTCTAGAAGATCCATCTAAACTAGATTTAAGAATTTTAGTTAAAGATGAGTTTCTAAATGGTACATGTCCTTTATCTTCCGCTTTTAAAAAGATGACTTATGTAAGAAAGAATAGACTCTTATTAATATATTGACCTTCTTTGATTCTACGATTGGTATCTTATATTTCTGCATCTTCAAAATGATTAGATACTTTTTCAGATCCAGCCAAGTCTACAAAATTGAGTACACTTTCTGTTACCATAGCACCTTTAAGTTGATGATTTTCAGCCTCTAATTATTCTAGTGTTGGGAATTTATGTTATGATTATTCTCTTCTATATTATCGAATAAAATTATTGGTAATAGATTGTACATAGAGTCTAAAAATAGCATGAGATCTGGAACTATTATGATTCATGGCAGTTTAAGCATAATGTCTATTGATTTCACCTCTTTTAAGAACTTCAAAGATTTCATTGATAGATGATACAGATTATTCAATAAGTCCTTTAACATAGAATTCTTTCTTTTAATCTTCATTAACTTATAAGGTTTCTTATAATTTAGATGATGGTTTAAGTAGATCAAAGATCTATTCATTATAAATTTCAAAATATGAACAACGTAAAACATAGGTCTTATTAAGATCATTATCTATTTTAGCAAATAAATCTTTAAAACTTTGTAATAATACTCCTTCATCATTAGATTTACCTAACATAGTGTATGTTTTGCCACTTCCAGTTTAACCATATAAAAAAATAGTACCATTAATACCATTAGTAGATCCAAGTACTAATGATTTTACTTCTTTAGAATAGATATCTGTATTCTTGCTATCTTAACTAAAACAATGATCAAAAGCAAAAGTTGTACGACCTGATGCATTAGTAGGTTTTCTCATTTGATTATTTAGAAATATATGTTAATCATGTATTACCCAAATAGATGGTTCTGGATCAGGACGTATACGTACTGCAACTTATATGTTTTCCATAGTTTTTTCAGTTAAATTCAAATATATATATAAAAAATAATATAAAATTAATGAGTTAAGAATTGCTCCATTGTCCATAATGTTAAATGAATTTTGATAAATACACACGAACTCCTCAAATGTTACCAAAATGTGGTCATTCAATGTGTATGTAATGTCTCAAAGAGTCTTGTAAAATCATTTGTCCTGAAGATGGGTACTAATTCTCAATTTATCAGATTACTCTAACCTTCAGATCTTTCACTCTATCCTATTAATTAAGCAGTCTTAAGAATCATTTGTAAAACATAGGATAATGATATTCCATCTAACCAAGATAAATTACAGTAGTGTCCTTAACACCACAAACTGCTTGAACTTATTTGTGTCGATGATAGATGTAGAATTTGTGCTAGTTGTGCCTTGTTTGGAATTCATAAACTACATAACATTTAAAATGCTGATGTAAATATTTTTATTCATCTTACAAGTCTGTCAATAAATCAATCTAAGAAAATCTTATACACACTCAAAATTTAACTCTTACTATACAAGATAAAATCAAATTCCTCAAATTACCACTCATTAATAAGAAGATTCATGATTAAATTAGACTTTGTATAAAATAATAATAAACACTTGCTGAAGAACAATTCAAAGTATCTTATATCATTTATTCTAGGAAATCATTAATTAAATCCTTGCCAAATAATAGAAAGTACTTGAAGAAATCGAATCAAAGTACAAACTGTTAGAAGATCAATTTTTCAAAAAAGAGACTCTTGCTATCACTTCCATTCTTGATAAAGCTGATATGTGGATACTTGGGTATCTATTCATTTTAATATAATTAGATCTAATCAAAAAATCTAAGAATATCATGAAACATAAGAAAAAGGAGATATTCCATTTACCTTATTACTCTCAGATTCTTCCATTTAATAAGGAAAATAAATCCTTGATGAAATAGATGATTATCTACTCAAATTCCAAAATAATCTTTAAGATATTATCTCTGCTATACCAACTATTAACCAATTTGAATAAACTTATTTTCATGAACCAAACATACTTAAAGATTTATCAATTATCGAATAGAGTTTCTTAAAAGAAATTGATGAAAAACCACCTCATAATGAATTCTTAGGATCATCTTTGCCAGAGTCTACTTGTTAATCTTAGCCTTCCTCCAATAATATTTCCTAAAATGCCATTAGTCCATAATAGCCTCATTAAAAAAGGGCATCTTAATAATTTGTTTTAGTTTCTCCTAAAGTATAAAGTAGGTAACAATCTGCTTCCCCAAAAAAACCAGTAGTTAAAAAAAAATTAAATACAAAAGTAGAATCTATTCTATTTAATTGTAATGGAGATTATTTGGATTTATCTTAATAAGGTAATTTATTTTTATAAATATTTCAGAACTTGGAGATGATGGAATTATGATACTAGAAGAATATATAAGAAATAAGAAGGTTAAAATAATAAAATTAATGAGAAATCGTATAAGTGATGTTGGTGCTATGAAATTAATGGAACTACATTGTTAAGTGTTATATTTATAATCAAATGTTATTACTGAAAAGTTTTTGGATATGATAATGAATGCTATATAAAAGTAGATTCAGATTCACATCAAAACTGTATATTTGGGATAGAATTTAATCAATTAGTTTAGAGTAAAAAAGAAAATTGAGGATCTCAAAAAATTAGGAATTTCAATTTAAATATGAATTAAAATAATGTATAATGTTTATTAATTTGTATAAAAATATATATAAATTGTTAAAGAGAAAATTTTATGAATAGAGTAATATTGTAGAGTGGAGAATGAAAGTGAAGGGGAAATTGAATGAGATGAAATAGAAATAGTGAATTTGATTAAAAAATAGGGGTGATAATTATAATAATTAATAAAAATAAAATTTATTAATGAGCAGAGCTTACTCACCTACAAGAAGCAGAGCAGAAAAGATTGTTGGACAATTAAGTGAGCTAACATTGGGACGTAAAGATTAAGTATTTGGTGTATGTTTGATTGAAGACTTCAAGAATAAAGGAAGCAGAGGAGAGAGTAGAAATATTAGAGTCAGCAATAAAGGATTTAAAAGAGACTTTAGAGGGGAAGATATCAAAAATATAAGAGGGATTGGAATATGTATAATAGGTGTTGAGTGAGTAAGAACCAAAAGAGGAAGATGAATAATAGATGGTAGAAGATATGAAGAAGGCAGAGGAGAGTGTAAATGAAAAGTTAGAGGAGTTGAGTAAATAGAGAGAAGAAAGTTAATAGAAGTTTAACGAATAAGTAGAGAAGGATATTCAAGAATTGAAAGAACAGATCAATTAGGAGAAGAGTGAGAGGAATCAATAAATAAAAGAGATTAATGAATGTTTAGAGGTAGAATTTTGAATAAATATATAAGAGTGATTTACCACAGTTATAAGATATGTTATAATAGAACATAAAGGAGAGAGATGAGATGGATAAAAATATAAATATTAAATTAAGTGATGAATTATAGAGATTGTCTTAAATAATATAATAAGAGAGAATCAATAGATAATAAGGAGAATAGAGTTTATTCGAGATGTTGAAAGATGTGGTTAATAGGATAAAGAAGGAAATAGATTAAGAGAAAATAATTAGAGAAGCAACTGAGAATGATGTTCTTAGTGTATTGGAAGAGACTTTGAATAAAATTTTAGCAGCTCAAGATCATTGATATATATAAATATATTATATATAGATAATAATAAATAATTAAATGTAAAATTCAGACAATTCAGATGAATGTTATAGTGATGATTAGTAAGAATCACCTAGGTTTCTATACAACTTTAAAGAGATAAATCTTTAGAATAAAACACTTTTAGCGGAAATTAGAATCATTTGCAAAAATCTAATCTATGTGATTGGTTTAGCTCCTTCCATAGCAAAAGAAGATGTATCAAACATTTAATTAAGTTAAAAAGCTATTAAAAAAACCAGAGTATTTTGGACAGTATGGTTAAATACAAAAATTGATTGTTATTTAGAGTAATACTTTTAATCCACCTTCACATGCTGCATATATTACTTATAGAAATGAGTAGGAAGCATCTCTAGCTATTTTAGTAATCATTATATTTAAAATTTATGGCGTGTGAAAGATTTCCACTTCATGATAGATATGTGAAAGCATCTTTTGGTACAACCAAATATTGCACCAATTTCCTTAAAGGATAGTAATGTAAAATTAAAGACTGTGTTTATTTGCACCAACATCCAAAGGATAAAGAATCTACACAAGTCATTAAAAAAGTATGCCTCTATTCTATGCCAGGAAGAAATGAACAATTCTAAATGGCTCTTTTCTTATTCCCAAAAAATAGCATAAGAAAATTACAAAAAATTCTATACCAAAATCAACTACAAAAATGCTCTCTAAAAATCTATCTTCCTTAATACACAAAACATTCTTGATAGAATGATTGAAGATAACATTATAGATCGTATTCCTGAGCAGCCATAACCTCAATTATAACAATAGATCCTTGAAGAAACATAACCAATCGAAATTCCTGTATAATAAAAACCAATCGATATTGAAAAACGATTGGAAGCTATTATACAAAAAAGTATTATTCTTTCTTATTTAAGTGGATGGAGACAGCAATTCAAGATTCAAATTTACCAATGGTAATTGTCAATAAGACTATGAAGGAATCTAGTAATTGAAGCAATCCCTTCAAAAATGATTAATGACAAGTAAATAATAATAATAGTAACATTTTGTCAATTTCTTTTTATTTCCTCATTAAAATAAATAACATTCTTTTTATGTAATCAAATTTTAAAGTTGGAAATAGTTTCTCAAAAATATTAAATAATATTCAAAAAGTCAAATTATATAATTTCATATAAACAACCACAAATTCTAAAAATTAATTTATTTAGTATCAATATTAGATTATTAACATAAGGTTAAAAAGTATATTAATATATTGATTTTTATATT